AAGGCAACGAGAAGCGCAAGAAAGCTCTTTTCTGCGCGCTAAGCTGAAAGCTCAAGAAGGGCCCCGTCTGCGGCGGAGCTGCAGTCCAAGAAGCTGGTGTTGCACAAGCACAAAAGAAGCGACAAGAAGGTTACACAGAATTCTCAGCTTCTGTGTTCTGTGTTGCACCTCCGAGCTTCTCAATGTAATAAACGACGCCGGATAAGATCTACAGGGAGAGATAAGCCTCGAGGATCAATATCTTCTCATTGTTCCATTCCAGTCTTTCAGATTGAACCATTCGACTGCACAAAACGAGCTGTGTGCAGACTGCCGTCGCCAACGTATTGCATTTACAACACGAGCACTAGATCACGAATCCACTGTGTCAAAAAATACCGGCACAGCTGTGTGAGCCCAAAACCGCGGGTCAGAGATGGCCTTCTCCTCCGGACTCTTCGTCAGCCCAGCTGTCAGCCTGCTCAGCCTGCTCAGCCTGCTCAGCCTGCTCAGCCTGCTCAGCCTGCTCAGCCTGCTCCTGGAAGGATGGGAACCGAGGAAACGGACCGAGGAAACGGACCGAGGAAACGGAGCTCGCGCGAAGTTGTTTGTCCTGCACCTCGCTCTGCATCTGCGGAGTCCCAACTTGACCTCGCAGGTGCACCATGCACATTTCGGCAGATGAGCCGTGCGTATCGCCTTCAGTTTCTTTGGCCACTGGCGGCGGACCTAAGCGCATCGTGCTACACGTACTGCATACAACTGATAGACTGGAAATCTTGGATCAGCACTGGTAGGATCTGGAAGATATCTCCGAATGGATTCTCGGGAGGATATGGCTTTTTCGAAGACGACTTCGCGGTCACATGCCGCCTTGACCTTCACGTGCCATGGACCCACAGGACAATGCACTTCCAACTCATTGGGAGCATGGCGGGAGAGCTACTTACACGCACTTGCAATAGAGAAAGAACCACAACCGACAGCCACCATGGTCCGAAGGGAATCTTGCGCCTCCGAGCCACCATAGAAATAGGCAAGAAGGCACAAGATTTTCTGTGGCGCAGCCTGGAGCAGAACAACACGTTGCACAAATGTCACACACAGCCCAACAGACCCCGTGGGATGTAAGTCAGCAGCTTGTCCTGCCTTTGCCGAGGACAGGTACAGCTTCTGCAAATCAACGAAGCCTCGCACATTTAGCCTGGCACAAGCCAGGCCGGAATTGCGCGCAGTTGTCGGGTCATGAGGAGCCGGCAGCAGATGAGCGCGCACTGCACTTGCACATGCCAGCTGGACAAGGCCGCATTGGCAAGCAAGCAATACACCGTGGAGGCCGAGAGCTTCACGACCTGGCTTGAAGTGTAGGCTTCCGCAAACCGAACAGAAGGCGATCCACCTTCCCTGCCAATAGCCGACCGTGCAGATTAGACTACAGGCTCCCAAACCTTCTGCTCCTTCGCGGTCTGCTCTCACAAGGCTACTGCTTATGGCCTTGAAGGCAAAACGTACACTGAGACACTTACGTGTGCAACAGTGCAGCACACCCTGTCGCTCGAGAACCAGCAGGGCTAGGTCCACAGGTTTGGACATACTTGCAACGATACCCTGCAGGCAGTGGCAACGTAGCAGTAGACCTCAGAAGTTAAGGCTCCAACGGACTACGGCACAGGGATAGTCCAGAAAAACGGAGGCAAGCTGAAAGCAACAGAGAGACAGAGACACAGAGAGATGGAGAGAGATGAAGAGAGATGGAGAGAGATGGAGAGAGACGGAGAGAGTGAAAGAGAGAGAGAGAGAGAGACGGAGAGACAGACACGCCGACGGAGAGAGAGAGGGAGACAGGGACCAAGACAAGCAGATAGATGGATAGATAGGTAGACAGATTGAGAGGGAGAGACAAGGGAAAAAAGTGAGAGCGAGAGAGAGAGACCGAGCGAGACATAGAGGGTGAGCGGGCCCTTAGATCGCTGAAATTTTGCTCTGCGATTTTCCTCTTAGTTCTGGCCCATGGCATTTAGAGAACCTGAGAACCTTTTGCGTGGAGTGTGCTTGCTAAGAACAGCTCCAGGTCTGCATTTTTTCAGACCAGATGTCAGGAGTTGTAGTGTTGATGAAGCGACATAGCGGTGGCTTATTTGAGAGAAGGGCGGGACCACTCGTGGTTATGGGGGCCAGCTACTTCCTTGCAGGGGGGGGGCTGTACTCGTGATGGACAGAAATCGTGACGTTTGTCGAGAAGGCAACTCGCTGCAGGACAATTTAGTTGTCGCTGTGGCCGTCGTGGCTGCAGGTAGCAGGCTCCACAGAGGAAGGGAGGTTGCATGTCTCTACTCGCTATTGGACCTTGTCCGACGGAATCTCGACGGCCTCAGACGTTTCTCCTGTGTCGCCACCAGGCCCGCATCGAAGTGTGCCACATGCAGATACGCGTGCCTGCTTTGGGAGACACTTTGTCATCTGTGACCTGAGCAACCATCTGCGCAGCTGAGAAAGACTTGCATTCTCGCAAATCTGCTGGGCCTCTGAAACTGGCTCACGTCGGATGCGACAAGGCCTTGCAACCTTCCAAGAAAGTACAGGAGCTCGTCACTGGAAGTACAACGACAAACACCCTAAACCCTAAACCATCCTAAACACCTAAGCCCAAGCCTCTAGACTTAAACCCTAAACCTTAACTCAATAATTGCTGCCGGATGCTGCTCTTTGTGCAACGACACAAAACACAAATCATACCCTCCACAGCTAGCAATTACCAGTGCCATGGGCAAATAAGTTAGTCTGTCCCCTGCAAAACTTGATTTTCATGACGCTTTGGCTCATGTCTTCGGCTTGCGCGCGCATGCCTTGGGCTGAGGTGGTGCAGGAAGTAGAGCAGCCGGAGAGCTTTCATCCTGGCACATTGCTCACACGCACAGCAGTTTCCTGCCGTGCATGCAGTAGAGGCTATGCCAAAGTTGCCGACGCTGCTGCTAGCTCACCCGCCGCTTTCAGCCATGCTGGCACCTGGATGCACTGAGCATGAAGTTCCTTGGTTGAGCCTGCCACTTGGGCTCTGGCAACTGATGCAAACGGATCCTTGCCTCAGCAAGTTGCAGAAAGAGATGGAGTCGGCCGGAGATGAAAGGCGATGAATTGCGGCTTAGCACACTCGCAATACCCTCTCGAAGCTGAGCTTGCAGGCCAAACCGTTCAGCAAAGAGAGCTAACGCCTCCAGGGATAGCCAGTGATCCGAACCAAGAGCCAAGGAGCCTTCCGACACGGTGCCTCCTTCAGCCGCTTGTATTTGGCGAAGCGAGGCACCTGCAGAAGAGGCTGTCGGCAGGGTCGGCAGACGGGCCCTGTAGGTGTGAGGGTGGGCGTGTGTCCGTGTGGGCATACCTGTGTTCACAAAAATATGCCGTGACATCCACTCTACCTGTACAGCTTGTACCTATACTATACATATATATATATATGTATACATACATACCTTCCTTCCCACGTGGCAAAGAGGTCCTTGCGAACGTCTCTTGACACACATCTTTGATGTGCGGCTCTTCATGTGAGAGCTGAAAATGCTGTGCCCTTCCACCAGCCGATCCGAAGATCCAAGCACTGGTGGTTGGGTTCGCGAGCTTCATAATTAGTCTGGGCCGAGCATGCTATATATGTACAGATAGGCATTGGTTTGAATTAGCTTGCGATGCTCTGGCCTGACTTTGATGGCAGCCTTGTTGTCATCATGGAACAACCATCCACTGCTGCGACAGCTAACAGCACGATAATGTCCTGCATTTCGGCTCTGGCCCAGATGGACTATTATGGCTTGCAGTTGATAGTCCTGCCGACTTGTGGCAAGTGTCACATTATCCTGAAACACGGGCAGATGGATCTTATCAGGACCATGCACAGGCATGGCACTATTTTGCTCATTAAGTCCTAAACCGAACCTGGTGACTTGCAACATGAGGGCAGGAGGCAGTTCGCTCAGCGCGTGCGGCAGAGCCTGAGCATGCCATGCATCAACGAGCTGCTGCAGGTTGACGCCTCGTCCAGCTGAGGTTTCAGCCAACGGCAACGAAAGGAGCAGTGGCCAGGTGGGACCACTATCTTCAGCCTGAACAGTACCCTCAATGATACGGGCTTGCCATGTTCCTTGAAAAACCGATGGCAAAAGAACGCCTGCTTCTTCGAGCAGATGGCTGGCAAAATCGGCAGCATCGTGCTGCTCCAATGGCCTAGGCCATGCAGATAGTGCACGCCTCCATGGCAGAGTTTGCCAAAGATTTAATGGGCTCCGGGCTCCAGCTCGCAAAAGCAGGGCTTGCACATCCTTGTGAAGCAGCTGTGTAGGGGTGCGGGCTTGTGCACTGAAGTGACTAATCACATGCATGATGGCATTAGAGTAGCAAAAGTTACGAGTGTTTAGCAGGCGAAGGTCCTTCACAGTCGCTCCAGTGCCTTCTCTAGACTCTAGCCTCTGTGCCAAAGCTGATCGCCCCATCTTCTCGTGCCGCAGGCTCCCTCCAATGAGGTGGAGCGCGCCCGAGTGGCACAACCTCTCTACCACCAGGTACGCCAGCTGGGCCTCTTGGCTCCTGTTGCTGATTTCCAAGAAAAAAGGGGAGTACCTCCCCTTGGATCTCGCTGGTCAGCTTGCGGGCCGCATGGAAGCGAAGAACCATCCGGGGGGAAGGCCAACCATTGCTGGAGGTTCCTCAGTTCCCGGGCAATGTCCTCCGCTGACCAGGTGTCCCGGTCCGGCTTGGGCTGGTAGGTGCCGGTTTCCGAGTTCCATTGCATGTAGCGGAACTCCAGGTTGGCATCCATGAGGCCTTGCTTCACTGCTTCCTCTTGGGCCTGCTCCGATTTCATCACCAGACCCAATCGGATCTAAATGGCCTGGATGACACAGCCGAAGAGGATGGTGCGCAGGGGCTGTTCCAGCTTCTCTGGCGTCTTGGTTTTCTGCTCGTGCCAGCTTTGCGCCACTTTGTGAAGATCGCTCAGGATGGAGAGGGGCTGGGCACTGCGCAGAAACAGAACAAAAGCCGTATCCTGTTTCAGGATCGACAGTTGATCTTCCTGCCTCAAGCAGATTCTCACCAGCATCTTGGTGATTTCCGTCTGCTGCTGGCCCGCATTGCCCCGATCGTTGCGGTCGTTCCGGCCGCCTCGTTGCCACCATCCACTTCCGGAGGAGCGATTGGACTGGCGCTGGTTTTTCCAGTTTCCCCAGTCTTTGTCCCCGAGGTGGCTTGCTGTGGCTCCATCCGTGTGGCCAGTTCCACGTCTTGCTCGTAGCGGCGTTGGGGATCGTCGGCTCTGCGAGGGCGGGCGGCCGCCTTTGCCACCACCGATCAGCCGATTGGTTTTCAGGGCTCGTGCCTTCGCGTAGTGCTCCTGCCTCCGCGTCCAGGCCCGGGGAATTGCGGGAGCTGACCTCTCTTGTCGGACTGGGCCGTGTCCATGGGCTCCGGTGTTTCCGGCAGGGCCGCCACCGGTGGGTCGTCCGTCTTCTCCGTCTCCGTGGTTGGAGATGGGGGCCCGGGCGGCTGCTGGGTTTCCAGCAACCGACTGCAGCTCGGGCGTGTGATCTTGCCCGTATTGGCAGGGCCTACAGATGCCTCTGCGTTCTTGGAGCCAGGTCTGCAGGTGTGGGACCAGGGCACGCAGGTCAGCATGTTGTTGCCTAATGTGATGTAGTACATACTTAGGCTGCGCAACCCACATTCCACAGGCAGGGCAGTGATTTGATTCATCAGTGTTCTGTAGGGCCAGCGCCAGCGGTCTCCAGGATGTGGTGGCTTCTTGTGCCAGTTTTAACACGCGCAAGTTATCAAGCAAGGGCTGTCTACTCGGCGGAGCAGGGACTCGCGGGCTTGGTTACCTACTTGTGGAGTCTTATCTGCAGCCAGTTGGGGACAGCTGTCTCGATTGAAGTGCGACATGAACTCGGGCCAGCCATGAAATTCATGACCGCAGTGTCTGCAGGCGGGCATGCCGTTCAGGCTATGCTGCATGTGCTGATTCACCCGTCCTCTCATTGTATTGCGATGACGTCTTTGTGCCACTTTAGTCCGCTTGTTATGGGCTTTGGTGATGTGGTAGCGGAGCCGTTTCTTGGTACTGAAAACTGCAGCACAACTGGGACAGGGGTATGAAAGGCTGGGTTTGTCTAGGAGCGAACGTGCAGACGTGTTGCTGGGTGGCTGCGTGCTGGCCAGAACAGTGGCCCACCATGCATGCATTTCAGCAGGATGCTGCAACTCGGCAATTCTCTCTGTAGCAAGCTGTATTCTTTCTTCGGCAGCTTTGCGTATGATGTCCAAGGGATCAGGCAGCCTGTGTTGTGAGATGAGCTGCTGGTTGGGGACGTGTGCTACATGAGAGTGATCGCCGAGAGCCAGGCGTATCTGCTTCATTTGTGCGTTGCAGAATTTCTGCAGACTAAGGGCTGTGAAGCCGACACTGGTCAAGGAGTAGCGCAAGGTTGCAAAACATACCGCAGTGTGCAGGTTAAGCCTTTGCTTGGTGGTGAGAGTGTTGTTCTTGAGCAGTGCACTGATGCGATGGAAAGCAACCCAGCTCTGCGAAATCCTGCGCTTCCGGGTGTGACGTAGACATGCTTGTCAACTAGGGGCAGGTCATAGTGATCCCCGGGGTTAAGGGAAAGCTTGACTCGAAGACATCTACCTCGGGTGGGGTGTTTGACCATGTAGAGCTGATGCGTTTTTGTGGCAGCACTGCCCCACAGGGACTGCAAGACAACCGTCTTGGCTGGGCTGATGGTCATACCATGCTTTTTGAGGACTAGGAGTACGGCTGCAATCTGCCTTGGTATGCGACGGTACTCGGCTTTGCTCGCAAATCGCCACTGCAGCAAAAACAAAGATGGTCTGCAGTGCTTTGGGGCCTCAAGGGCGAGGGCTCTAGAGATGCGAATGGAATAAAGTATCCAAAGCAATGGTGCAAGACCACAGCCCTGTCGGATGCCCTGGCCTGGCCGGACCTGTCCCTCAGCCTGTGTGGTCTTGAAAAGGTATCTTGCATTTTCGTGCAGATAGAGTACAAGCTGTCTGATGTTGTAATCGACGCCTGCTTCGGTCATACAAGCTTACAGTTCTGTCCACGGCGTGCTGTCGAAGGCTTTTTGTAGGTCAAGCGAGAGTGTAACGCCTCCTCTAGCTTCAGGTAGGGCCAGGCCAAGCTTGCGCCGTTTTAAGCTTATGCTGGTATTTCGTCTATCCTCACGAACTTGCCTATAATGGCAGAAGGCACGGTCCAGTGCATCTGCTGTTTGTCGGTTTTGTGCATAGGCGTATTGTGGGATGTCAACCAGTGCTTGGTTCACTTGGGGCCTGATGTAGTTAGCTAGCTGCTGTGCAAGAACCTTAGCAAAAGCAGGCAGTAGGGAGATGGGTCGGAGGGCATCAGGTGACGTGAGGGGCTTGTTTTGCTTCGGTATGAGGGCTAGTTTCCAGCCGAAGGGTGCCCGGCTGGAGGGAGCTGTGCAGCTGTACAAGCATGCAGTTTGCAGCCAGTGGGGCTGCTGCTTTCCACAATGGTGCCGGGGGCTCAGTACTTGGCAGTGCCTTGTTGGGTAAGGCAAGGAATGCAGCATGCAGACTCTAGTTGGTCTTGGTCAAAGGGAATGTGACATGTGAGGCCTCGTACCAAGTCCAGATTGGAGTCCGACGGTTCTGCATATACCTTTGCAAAGTGCTTGGTAATGCGCTGCATTTCCGCCTCGGCATGCAGTAGCTGTCCTGTGTCATCCCTGAGCTGAAGCCGTCGTGGTCGACCCTTCGGTGTTAGCCTGCGCAGTGCTCGATAGACAGTTGACATATTGCAGCCTCCATGTACGGAGACCTCCTGCAGTATGTTGTCGACTTTTGCACGCTTTGCTGCTCGACAGGCCATTTCTGCACAGTCAAGACATGCTTCCATTGCAGCAGAAGCTGTTGCATGGCAAGTGCATGACTGGCCCGCCTTCTGGGGAGATGCTCGGGTGGCCAAATTCTGGGCATAGCCCAGAGTTGCCGGACCTGCTGCGCGACAGTTGACCTGGAGGAGGCCGAAGGGTCTTGCGCAGGTAGAGTCGTCTTGTGATGTATAGGCACCTGTTGCTTGGCACACTGCCATGCAGCAAGCATAGAAGATCGAAGGTTCTCTAAGCTCTCAACCTTTCGGGGCAGGGCAGCTTGGTAGTGCTGGAGGAGCTCTGGCTGAGCTCGCAGATCCTCCTAAACCTGTCGAAGTGTAGGAGAGCGACCTTGGGCTCTGGACTTGAACTGATGAAGGACGTGCCTGGAGGGTATGAGGGCCACAAGGGGCAGATGTACAAAACGGGAGATGGCCTAGAGGTCACAAGTGCGGGCTTTGCTCTTTGGCCTGCGAATGTCTCATGAGGAAAAAGTCAATCTGAGTGGCTGGCTGAACTCCTTGCTTGCAGGTAGCTGCAGCAGGGCCGGTTTTGGACCATGTGTTGAGGGCCGTAAGCTGGTGCCGCCTGAGCAGGGACTGAAAGAGATGCTCGTCTGTCTGGACCGGTCGCCGCGACATGTGTGCAACGCCTCTCCCAACATGGGGACACTCCTGATGGAGTGGTGCATTACAATCACCGCAGATGAGGAGCTGGTTTCGGCTTGGGATGCTCCTGATCCAGCCGTCGATGGCAGTCCATATTTCCAGCCTTTGCTTCAGGAGGTGATCAAGCTTAGTTTGCCCTTGCACCTTGCCTTTAAGATCCGATCTACCTGCGTTCCATGCACGTTGATAGACAATGAGCAGGCCGCTCGTGCAAGGCAACCCGTAGGTGCGGTAACCTGCCAGGCAGGAGTTCATGCAGACGCACGTCATCTGCAGCACACAGTTTGGTGCTGAGCAGTGCCAGGATGCCACCTGTGGAGGATCCAGTGCCAGTATGCATTGCATGCCAGCCACGTGGGCCGGTTCTTGCCTGATATTCAGAGCTACTGGCCCAGTGGGTTTCACTGAGACACACTATGTCCGGGAGCTGGGCTGGCGGTTCTGCTTGGAGCCATGCTGCGAGCTCTGCATACCTGGCTTGGTGCAGACCGCCACAGTTCCATTGCAAGCCACGAAGAGCAGCGGCCTCTTGCTGTGGAGGTGACACTGCCGGTGTGGGGCTGCCTGGCTGCAAGGGATCTCGGCAGGAGCGACTGGCAGCAGTTTTGGGCTGTGAGGTGTATCGCCTGCAACTGCTTGGCCGTGACTTCTTGGCCACGATAGATGGCTGCGCCGAACCTGCTAGCTCGCTTGAGGGCACGCTTGTATGGTCGTTTAGCCGTTCGACAGAACGGCGGGCCATTGGGTATGAGGGTCGGGCCGTGATGCTTTGCTCCTTCTATGGCTTCTCGTGCGTGTAGAAAGTCAGGAGCTTCAGAGAGTTGCAGGCCTGCAGAGCTCTCAACCCTCACTCCGGACGGAATTGCAGAGGCTGTGCGAAAAACTGCTTGGCAGCACAATACGAGCAGCAGCCTGCGCAAACCATGGAAAATATGTCGCCGTCCCCCGGACTTGGGACCGGGCAAGCTGAGATCTGAGTCGCTGTTCCTGTGCATTTTAGGGCTGTTGGGGTTAGGGCATTTAGGGTGGGGAGATATTAGGGAGCGCAGCTGCAGGGGGAGGCTAAGGACATAGCTTAAAAGGGCGATGCCAACTATGCTTACTAGCTCAAGCAGATGTGTGCCTGCTGATATAGGCCGCCGGGCGATCAGCCGACCCAAAGGTCCAAGCACTGATCGACACCGGCGGCTACGGCGTGGTGCCCGACAGCTGTGCCAACGATGAAGACAAGTTTTCCTGCGAAGCATGATGGGTATATATGGGCCTGGGGTGGGTCTACTGGCGACTGTCCTGAGCAGCACAGCTGGGGGATCCCTGCCATAAGGGACTTCCTCAGCTTCGACGAGGTCGTTTGACGACAGCTTCGACAACCGCCCTGGCTGTTGGCACCAAGTGACACCAGGCCTGGAGCCAATCTGCCTGCAGAAGTTTGAGAGCCTCTCGGCAGAGGGTCTCCTTAGTTTCACCTCGCAGCTTTCTCGTAATATGGCCCACATGGGAGGCAGCACTCTTGCTGCTGATGCTGGGGTGCAGCTGTCTATACTGCCGGCCATATAGAGAGCCAAGGAGCTGAAGCAATTCTGCATCGGCTCCTTCCGCCAGCTTGCAGAGGTGTGCATTGTTGCAGAGTGCCGTGACACCAGAGGAAGCCGCGTGGTCAGCAGGTTTGGTGGTTGCTTCTCTATAGCTTTGCCATTGCACCAGCCTTGCTGGGGACAGGTTGGCTGCTGCCAGCTGATGCAACTTTGCAAGGTCAGGTGCTCGGCAGAGTTGTTCGCGCAGTTCCTCGCGCCAAAGGCCTCTGAGCTGCACCTTCGCATTATAGAGCAGGCCTTGTCTTGTATCCAATGTGTCACTTGAGCTTGCAAGCTCCGAGATGTTGTCTCCACTGTCCGGGTCATCAATGGGGTTATGGGCAGTGCTGCCGGACGAGGGCCGGCTCGCTTGGGCATGGCGGTGCAATCAAGCTTTCATGTTTTATGTAAGAAAGACGAATGCATATGGCCATGGCATGTCTAAGCATCATCGTGGAGTGTCCACGGGACTGCAGCTACCTGCAGCGGGGCCCTGAATAGCGACCAGATCTGAGCCGGGAGCTTATACATACATACATACATACATACATACATACATACATACATACATACATACATATCCTTGTACACACATATCCTTGTACACACCCATTTCACGCACAAGCACACATGCTTCACCGTCTTTATGCGCGTGTAGGTATTTGTACATACAACGACAATGATACTAACAATCATCCTCGTCATCATCTGACGGCCACTTATATACTACGTGTATATTACTGGCTCTGAAAACCCACTCTGAGACCATAGGCACAGACCTGCAAGAGCTCACAACGGTGCCCTCGCCTCCTTCGGAGTCTCCTTTGGACCCTCCGATGCCTCATTTTCCAACCTGAGAACAGCGAAGAACCTGGCCCTGAATGGCGATACTTCTCAGCAACAGCACCTGCTCGTCTTCTTGCTGTGTTTTGCACTTGCCCGCTGCTTCAACGAATAAATGCTCAACCCAAAGAAACATGTAGAGATATAGATATGTTTTCCTGTATCATAACAACTGCCCTCCAGTCACATCGATCGCATGCTGAGGCTTCGGCTGGTCGTCTTCTGCTCCCTCTTGTTTACTATCCTTCGTGTCCTTTGCTTCCTTTCGTTCCTCTCCTTCCTTTCGTTCCTTTCCTTCCTTTCGTTCCTTTCCTTCCGTTCGTTCCTTTCCTTCCTTTCGTTCCTTTCCTTCCTTTCGTTCCTTTCGTTCCTTTCGCTCCTTTCCGTCCAGTCCTTCTTTTCCTTCCTTTGCTTCCTTTCCTTCCCTTCCTTCCTTTTCCATGTGACCTCAGATCAGAGGTTCTGCGAACATGTTACTGGCGGCATACTTCGTTGTGCCGACTTGGGCCCCAGCTTTCTGATGCCTGTCTGAATGACCCACTGACTGACTAAGAATGACGGTGGTCGAAAGGCAGATGTCCTTCGGTGGATCGTCTTTAGCCGGATGCAGAGAGCCTCCGGGCAAAGGCCTGGGTGTCAAAGTATCGAAGCGGTTATGTGGTAACTTCTTAGCTAGGGCGATGAGGATTTCTAAGTTCCAGTCTCTCCATCGAAAGTGCGGATCCTGGACGCATGATCGACTGATTGCGGGACTACTGTCGAAGTGACAAGAGAAACTCTCTTGAACTGCGCTCCAAGGCAGGGGCCAGGTGTCGAGGACCAAAAACTTTGTCTCGAAATCCGCGGCCTCGTCGAGCTCGCGGGCCTTACGTTGGCTGAGCCCGGTCTGAGAAGGGAAACAGCACCTGATCGGACCGGGGCTTCCGCACAGTCGGTGCAAGCCTGTTGCAGGCTCGTCCCGCGAAGTCGAAGCAAGAAGGACTTCGCGTCCTCTGACAGCTGACATCCTCTGTGCGTCCCCTGCTGTCCGGCAATTATGATGTCCACTGTCACAAGAATCTCCTCCATCTTCTTTGTCGGATCTCCTATGGACTGCAGAAAAGCTACAACTGAAGCCCACAGAGACTTCTTGAGGCCTTCGGTTGGGTGAGACTCCATAGCTTTGGCATAGCAGGTGGCAGGCAAAACTGCCCCACTTGCACTGCAGATAGGAGGCATGGCATTTGTTGTGTGGTTTGCTTCGCTGCAGTACTCTCACTGGATATTGGTACTTAGGACCCGCATCACTGCGATTGTGTAGCGAACCTCTCCGAGTGCGGAGGACTGGCGAGGTTTTCATCGTAGTTGAGCACACTTGCTGCAGACTGTCCTTCCTGATCATGGTATGGCATAGCCCTTGCAGACAAGGACGAATCGCCCAGAGCAACTTCAATGGGAATTCTTTTGACGCACCAGCCTGCTCTCCCACGGCACGGGAAGATGCAATCATGCAGCTCACTGCATGCCGGTGCCGACACCGGTGCAACCCAGCGCGGGACCCAAACCGACGCAATCGTCCTAGCATGTCCTACCGGTACCTACGATGCCCGATTCAGCTCGAATAGTGTAAACGACCTGGCTGCAGCCCGGACTTTCCCTCTCCCGTGTCCAATGCAAGCTTAAGACAAGGACAGGTCAGATGCACGTCTGCAAACCTTGGTACTCTACGACGCGCGCAAGCTTCCGCAGCGAGAAGGGGGGGAGCTCATAATCGTACTTGATGTAAGTCCTTGCAAACCAGCGCGCTGTGCAAGTTCTACCTACTCAGAACCAGCTGTGACGACTCATCCAAGGATCGTGTGGCATGTCTTCTCGGCACCAACGAAGTTGTCTACATCTTCATGCACCTGGATGCTCAAAAGCACATGTCTCAGCCATCCCTCAATCGTGAAGCGCACCCTGCAACTTGCGGGGTTCTGGGACGGAGGCATTTGTCAGCAGATACCGAGCACCGGTCGCTGCAAACTGCTGAATCGCTTTCTGCGCATCCACAAGATGCATGTGGTTCACCCTGGCAGACTGCGCAGCAGCAGCTCAGAGTGACGAGACGACTGCTGAGGGCTGCTGCTGAGCTTCCGGCGTCTCCTTCGAGAAGATTAGCTCAGCTCCCTTTGGAAGCGGAATCTCGGACAAGTCCTCACAAACAAACGCCGTGTTTTGTTGGAGCTGCACAAAGCAAATAGATGTCCATGATATGCCATGCTCGGGCAAAAGGCAGTTCTCTGGATGGCGTCAGCCCAAGCACAGAAAAACCCTTGAGAAATGTCTTTGTCAACCTCATCTCAGCGGTGTGAGACTACGAGTGCTCGTCAAGATCACGAGCCCTTGTCAGTGTCGTTGCGCAAATCCCGGCTTGTAGTTCGAGCATGTCTTTCAAGAGCTCCTGCGAAAGAAAATCTAGGTCGGGATGGCGCTGCTTGTTCCTTGCAATCACGTCCGACACGACATCCTGCCATCAGCTGCATTATTCAGACCGCAGCAGCAATTCCATCGCGCAAGCTTCACATGCCAGCTGCACCACCCCGGTGTACTGGAGTTCGGGATGTTTCGCAACGAAGAACGGGACCATCCTGGGAAAGAAAGCTGCTGAGCGCAGTGTGACAGGGCTGTCGATGTTTGAAGCTCAGTACATGGCCAGGTGGCATCGCCACAAGCACAGTCCAACATGGAACGGATTTGGAACTTGTCGATTACAGCCTGTGCTCCCATTTTCCCCGTGGGCGTGCTTGTCGTCATTCCAACTGCAAGAAGGGAAGTGAAGGCCTCTAATGCCGTGACGGCCAAGCGAGCTTCTGGGCTCCAGAGGTCAGAGCCTGACTCGAGCTAGCTCGTCTTCGTCCACAACCCCACCTACAGCTGAGGCAAGCCTGTGCCAGAGCGCGACACGTCACTGCCCCAAACCTCAACAGCGATATCTTGACCAAATGACATGCACTGAAAATTTTGCACTGGCCCCCAGCTTCAGGACAAGTTCCAGGCATTGTACTCGTACACGATGGAATATGCCATGTCCTGCAGCAAGAAGCCTCTACTGAGTCTAACCTCCGGTTCAGCCGAGGATGGCACACAGACATGGCTTGCATCATGTCCAGTGCTGTTTTTACACACGAACACTTCACAGACAGACTGAGCATCGGCTCTGCAGCGCTGTGGATCACCAGTTGGCTTGGGTTCCAGATTCCTATAGGCCCTTTGCAGAGCAGCCTCGTTTCCCCTGCAGTCGGTTCTGATGACACAGACTGCTTTCCAGCACACTCGGGGAAAGACAAAGCAGCCGGATTGGGCTTCATCCACTCTCCGGCTCGGGCTGGGCATGGGGTTGTGCACCGGTGCTTCGACGAGCAAGCACCTTCCCTATCTTTGATCTTGGGTCTTGCAAATGGGAGTCCAGAGAAGGGCTTCCCGACCTGCCCAGCAGTGAACAAGCTCCACCAAATCTGCTGCACACGTCAGATGCTACGGAGAGGGAAAAACTGGAAGTCTGGAAGGACGTGCCTGTTCGCGCAGAAAAGAAGCGGACATCTGTGGCTCTACCTATGTTGCCCTCTCACTTCCCACCAAGCATGAAGCATAGAAAGAGAACTACAGACCATGAATGGAAACAACACGAATCTGATCCAGCTACGCCCACACCTCTCCAGCACTTGCATCAAACTTCGGATGCATTGTCGAAGCTGGCAAGCAAGCGACAGCCCCATCTCAAACCAAGCAGCGAGGTCAGCATGTGGCAAAGTACCACACCAGCTGTCCTTGCGGGCCGCCCGAGTCATCCTTTCTTCCTCATCCTCGAAACCAAGATCCTGGTGGCAGGGTTTGTGCAAGGCAAACGAAGTGCTTGCAGTGCCTGCACATGTCTCCAAGACAGCAAGGCAGCATGAGCAGTAATTACATAGGAGCATGCGCGCATGGCTCTGCGTGCGCGCACCTTCTCAACCAGGTCTTCCTTAGACATGTTGCGTGCAGAGACACACAGCACTTGTGCCCTACTGGCTATGCCCGCAAGTGCAAAGGGGAGGCGGAGGTGCCTCCTTGCACCTGGGTGTTCATTGCAGCCAGCACCCACTAGGTGGTGCACACGGGCAGTCATATCTGCAATCCAATGCTGCTGCAAGAATGGTCAGAGGCCAAGCCAAGAACACTAAACCCAAATAGGTGCAATGTTGTCCGGAACTGTACTACTTTGTTTTGCCACCGGCGTTGGTCGAAGGGCCGGGCGTAAATCTGCCTTCTTTATGACTTGGTCGAAATCTCGACTGTACAACCGGCGGGCAAAACTCCGGTCAAAACGACACTGCTCCTCTCAGGAAGCTGCTGGATTCATTCCCTCATCGGAAGCCGACTTGATTCCCTTTCGGGGATACCTTGACCGTGCATTCCCTCTTGGCAGGTTAACTTGACCGAAGGTTCCTTGCTCGGCAGTTAGCTGGAACAGGCTTCAACCAGAGTTGGCTTTCGGAAGCCGATTCGTAAGTGCAAGGAGACGTTCCACTCTGTATCTCTGTGTGTGTGTGTGTGCGTGTGCGTGTGCGTGTGCGTGTGCGTGTGCGTGCGTGTGCGTGTGCGTGTGTGTGCGTGCGCGCGTGCGAGCGAAACCCATTCGGCAATGTAACATGCACACCACGTGGTGCTCGTTCTTGTCCGAATCCAACGTGAGCCAGCTGTGGACACCCGAACTGGCAGCGACCCTCAGTTGCCTGCTGCTGATCGATCACTGCGACACATTGACATGTGCCTGCTGTCCTGTTGCAACACACTCACGGCATCTGAGGCCATTCTCACCGGCGCCTGTCAATGCCACAAGGATCGCCTCCGACTGTGGCCATGGAAAAAACCCGAGTCACAGGCATCACCCAAAGTGGGCTGCAACCTGAGACCGGTTGCTCGGCTATTCGCGGCTAGATGTGTAGCGTTTCACAGAATCGGCAGAACCACTAAGCAAAACACATTGCACCGTCGACATCGCCAAATGCCACGCCTGTTCCAATGCAAGTGTCCATGAAAGTTCGTCCACATCAGGCCTACGCACCGGCCTGTCGTGGCAAGGGCCGCATCCTGAAGTGCGCACCGGTCTCAAAATCCTCTGTGTGTCTCAACAACCTGTCCTCTGCAGGAACCCAGAAGCTTTCCCAGTACATCCAGGTGTCACCCCCGGCAGCCTTAGCATCTTGAACTTCTGCTTGAAGCGAACAGGCCGACAGATCTCGGCGTGCACTGAGCCTGCCGCCCAGTAGCGGTTAGGATCCTTTTCGTCCAACTTCTCCCAACCTCAAGCAAACATCCCAGACTCGCAAGGCAAAGACCATACGTGACGCCCGTCGATCAGTGCAGCACGCCAAACAGCCGCGGTCAGTTGGGCCTGCTCATTTGGTGAGGGCCGGTTGCATGCCAAGGTTTGTGCTGCCTTGTCCGAACACTTTGTCAGCCGGATGCACGCATCGCTGAGCGGATCCTTGTTTGGCCAGGTTCTAAGACCCAGCAGCCACATGCTGGCTGGCTTACTCGAGGCGGCGACAAGGCTTTCACTTTTGTTCATAGGCAAGCCTTGAGCATCCGACATGGATGCGGAGCTGTGCAGAACAGGCACATGGGCCTCCGGTTTGCATTGCGGCTGCTGCCTGGTAAGAGTTGCGATTGGGTTCGGGTCTCTGCTGATCAGGCGGAGGTAGCCCTCGGCACAACCGATAAGCGAACCTGGTATGCATCGGCAGCCTGCTCCACGTCAGCCACACGCCGCCAAACTACCTCACGAACTTGGAAGTGCGCACCCAGTTTTCAAAGAAGGGCGAAACCAAGCCAAGTCCTTTCTTCGACTTAGATTTCCACCAGGTGTTCCGCGCCAAGCCGTGGGGCTACAAATGCAAAAAAACCTCGAAGCACAGCGAAGCTCACTTCAGCTCCGCTTCCTTTCAGAAATTTAGCTTGTGTCTGGGCCTGCAGGTCTTGTCCGGGCTTCTTTTGTTGCATTGTAAGGCTCGTACGTGTTTGACCCAAGCGAACTTCTCTTGTGCCAGGCCTGATAACAGGCAAGCTACGTGAAGCACTGCATGAAGATAGACGACTTGGGAATGGACATGTGCTGGGAGTACGCATCGAACGCAAGGAAAGCATCTGCCTCTCAGCAACCCCTCCTGTCCGCACCATGTTACGTCAGGTTACATTACAACCATCTTGGTCTCAGCGACTCACGCTTCGTTCCATCGAGACTGTCGCGGTGCCATCTGGACGTTTGCAGACCTTAAGCAGGCCATCGCCCGAGTGGTTTGTCTAACTGCACCCTGACGTTTCGATGCGATAATTAGTCATTCCGATTCGAAAATTGTGCCCATGACGGGATGGTCCACATGCAGCATTTTGCCGAGGCTGCTGCCCAGAATCGTCTGTCTGGCCACGCGACTGCCCGCGCGACGCCTGATGCATGTCAGCACTGACACGCACGCTGCACTCTCGTCGGCCGATCTCACCCATGAGGACTTGTCTCTGGCTTCGTGGACCTCTGCCCACCTCCGCCACCCCCCCCCCCGCCCGCACTCAGCCACACCTGTATCTCGCTCAGTGCGGTGTGGTGCGGTGTGAGTTCGAAACACTGATTCTCACGATCGTGCTTCGTCCAAAGGCTTGTGCCGAAAGAAAAGAGCGCTTCACATCGACATCAAATCAAGACCCGCCCTGCCACTGTCAGTGCGGAAGAAATCTGCCTAGGCCTTGCGCAAACTTTGGATCGACCGTCCTGCATAGTGTTGCCTAGAAACCAAGGCCCATCTCAGGCTGCTGCCCCGCTGACGGCCAGACTGCGCCAAGCGGCCCAGGGCCTGCTGAACTCCAACTTCGTTCAACGTCTGCTCTATAGCGCATGCCGGTTCCTATAAATGCTCGATACCGATGGCGTTTGCCACAAACTTCTGAAAAGCATCAATGGCTTCAACTTCGAGGAAGGGCAGTCTGAACAGTAGCGTGTGACCCAGTCACAAGCGAAAGATCGCTCATCAAAAAACCGGCACGTCTCACCCTGTTGTCTTGGTCACCAGTCGAGACGAGCCACAGAAGCAGTTGCCGTGGCTGCAACGAACCTGAGACCTGGCTGGTGCAGAACGACCAGGATCACGGCCATATGTCCCCTCCGCCTCTCACCTTGCCTTAAACCCTAAATATCTCCACCCTACCCACAGCAAACATTAGTCTCGTCTGTGCCCTGCACCTCTGGTCCTCACCGGGCGCGTCGGAAGCAAGAGTCGCGCCGGGGCTGGGCACGGCCCACACCGGGCCGCTGCAACCAGCATTGCCATTTCTTTCTCGGCTTTCTCTGCTCTGTGTGCATGTGTGTAGGGAATGTATGTCTGCATATATATATATATATATATAGATGTATGTATGGATGTCTGTATGTATAGATGTATGTATAGATGTATGTATGTATAGATGTATGTATGGATGTCTGTATGTATGTATGTATGTATGTATGTATGTATGTATGTATGTATGTATGTATGTATTATAATGTGTAGTTATGTATGTATATTCGTATGTCGTGATGTTGTCACCGCTTGTAAGTCTTCTTCACCTTACTTGTGAGCTATCAACCGCATGCATCTCGGAACAAAGCTCGAAGCACTGTACAATGTAGAATCCTATACAGTCAGAACTTTCTGTAACGCCACACCGCACAACAAATCGCCTCTGCACAGACGTTCCTTTAGTGGCTCCGGTTTCTGGCAAAGCCACTTGTTTTTGTCTGTCGCGGCAAAACGCGCATGCCGATTGATTTATGTACATCTGTGCGGTTATCGCACTGCTATCCGCCACTTCCCCTTCGAAACTTTTGAGAAGGCCATGCAGAGCTCTCTCTGGATTAGCTGGGAAACCGGGACTGCAAAGCCGACTGAACTGAAGACGCAGAAAAGACAAGCAAGACGGAGCACTATCATGTCGTTGATCAAGGCCAGCTGCTTTATCCTACCCGAAGTGGCTCCCAACTATTGCACGAGTTGATTTGATGTTCGGATTCGGATCCTTCGGAAAATCGCGAATGCGCAATTTGAAGTACCTCCCGCTTGCCAGCACGAAGAAGCCATTCCTATTGACCTTCTTGCCCACTTGTGCACAACGCTTGCAGAAGCCACGGAGGCGCACGAGGCCGTTCGAACCATTTTGAGCATGTCATGGCGGTGGACGAAGTCTATCTTGTTCGTGTTCCTCAGAAGTGCTGTCGGCTGTCGGCACTGATGCAAGCCTGCATGGACGCACGTGGGTCAAGACTAAGTCGCTCACCTCTTTTGCTGCGGACTCCGCCTGCGCTTTTTCCTGACATGGAGGCAGCACCAGGCCATACCCTCCATTGCAATGAAGAGGGAGAGCATCACGTCCGACGGCAGCTGCGCGAGCGCCAAGGCCGGGAAACGTTGGGATGGTTGGCTGTCGGGTTCAGACTTTAGAAGTTCTCGTTGGCGATACCAAGGACAGACGAGAATGAAAGCAAGACGCTCTCCTGATTAGTCTGGAACGCCAGCGATACACCACACAGGCAAACAGTGACAGGCCAGCAAGGCCCATCTCGAAGATGCGCACGCCGGCGTTCCCATCCGAAACGTGTCAAGCGGAATCGCTTCAGAACCTGTGCAGCTTGCAGCATCTCGCAAAGCTCCGAAGCTCAACGCTGCCGCCTCCGCGTGATTTCGGCTCTTTGTGGTCCGCATCTTCGTCACCTGCTTCAGGACCTGAGCCCGGCCAGCAAACTTCACCTTCTGTGCCAAGGCTCCCCAGAGTCGGAATGGAATGGAATGTAAGCTTCGTGGTTATCATGTGCCGCAACTGCTTCCAGAGCACACTAATTTCCACTTGCTCGAAGTCCCGACAAGAGCCCCCAACAGAGCACTTGGGCGTGGAGCTTGCAGAAACTTGCTGCCCAGGAGCAGGATAAAGCACGGGGCATCACTGACGACAAACACATTTACACAAACCGACGCACAAACCGATTCTTCCTGCTCAGACCCTGACGTTTGTTCTTACGCGAAACCAGGGGATCACAGCCCGTAAGTTGTACCTGTCTGCACCAATATCCTCACAGCACAACGCACTTAACCACAGCGTCACAAAGCACCGAGTCGGCTTTTAAAGCCCTGTGTGCGGTGTCCCGTCGGCGCACGATCGCACCTGCACCGCCTGTGCTGGTGCCGGTGATGCTTGCCACGGCCTCCAGGTGATCGCGACTAGAATGAGCTGATAACCCGCGCCTGGGGGCACTCCACCTTATGGGCAAAATGCTGGAGGCAGGCAGCGGCCTGGTGAGAGAAGGTTGCACACTCCATCAGAAAACACGCAGAGAATCGCTTGGTGACAGGCCCAGGCCGAGTCAAACAGCGAGCAGACGTCAAGGACACAAAGGCTCTCGAGGCACCTGCCACTTTCTATTTCGCTTTCGTCGCTGTACTTGCGGTAAGCTTGCTTTTCACGCTTTTGCTTTGCTGGAGGTTCTACGGATTGTGGAATCTAGATGGCTTCTGAAGTAGTCTCGCACGGGCCGAGGAAGGGCTTTTGGTGAGGTCCCTCTGAGTTCCTGCGGCTTCAGCAGAGCTTGGTTGTTGGGACTACGTCTCGGCTTGTTCTATGCATCTTGGAGGGGTTCCTCGTGGATAGGATTTAGGGTTTCTAGTTTCCAGCGTCTCCCAGACTTTTCTGCGGTTGTCGGCTTGTTGAAGGGTTTGTTAGGCCTCAGGGCTGTAGTGTGGAAGGTTTTTACAAGTATTGCTGCAACAGTGTCTAGACAGTCTTTCTAGACAGGCTTGAGAAATGCCTAGGGTTCGGGGTGTAGCATGATACTCTCTGCGGTTCTTCTAGTGTTTAAGCTTGTCTGTAGTGTTTACTGAAAACGGTATGTCATGTAGTCCCGGCCTTTCTACGGGATATAACTCGGTGGTCTAAAATCTAAGGTGGTTATGTTTTGTGAAGGCTTTGTGCGGCCTGTACTGCCCATTTTTGAAGAAGCAAACGATACTTACACCCGTTGAAACTTCGAACCCTGCCGCACCCGGCATCCCGGAGTTCGACCCCGAACATCAAGCCCGAAGCCCCAAGAAGCTAACTAAGTCTACGTTCAACCCTGCTGGCTCTTCTCCACGGAAACAACTCATTCCAAGGAGAAAGTGAAGGAGGCAGGAAGCGCTGCCAAGCAAGAAAACCAAAAAGCCGGAAAGCCATGAATGCCGAATCCGGCTCGGACAGGCACCCGCCTGCTTTGCATGTCCGTTGCGGAATGGCTGCGATCGCCGTGCAACCCACATTTTGCCTCGCCACAAATACATTCACCACAATCGGACCGCAGCATAATCCCCAATCAGGCCAGCTCCACAGGGATCTCGCGATCCACATGACGTGAGAGCGATGTGTCACCGAACTGCAGATTCAGGGCTTTTGTTGCTGGGAACTTAATCTTCGAGCTGCCTCTAGCACAAGCAGTGTTGAATCTGTTTGATTCAGCTACGTGCTATGGTTCAGAGTGCTGTAGAGGTTACCGGCAAACAGCATCCAACTGCTCGAACTCGAGCGCACCCGCAAACAAACGCAAAACGCATCGGTCCATGCATGCCTTGGCATTGCGCAGTCGTCGTCAAACCGATCTTGCCGTCTCTCGCACTCTATCAGAGGCTATGCTGAATTTACAAGCGGCAGCGTCCTTGCAACCTTCGGGCGTGCCCGTTGCCGTGTGTAAAGATATGTAACATATGTACACTTTGGGTGTGCACGTGTGCCGCACCGGCTATGTCGTCTCAACAGTTTGCCCTTGTGACGCAACACGCTGTCACATCAATCGTCGTGGCTGTGGTCGCCAGCTGGATGTCCATGCGATGAGTGCCGCTGCACCCCCAGAAGCACCCGTAGGAATCTCAGGCATTCCACGTGGCAAATCGCCTCAGCTTTGCACAAACAATGCAACATCTGTAGCCGCCGAACGCACCCAGGCAGCCAAAGCTCCCACGCCAGAGTCGCGGTTGGCAGGATGTCTGTAAACGGAAGGAACTCTTCCAGCGCACCCAGCGAAGAGACCAGCCAGCTGCCAAACAGATACCTTCAGCGAAGCTTGACGTTGCACCTCTTCCCTCTTTGAACACTTTCGTCCGGGGCACTGCAGAAGGAATCCAGCAAAGGGTGCCCACATGATGTCAGTGACCTGCGGAAACGTCAAGCCCTGCGACTCGAAGCCCTAACCCATTGAGTCTATCAAGGAAGGAACGGTCTGCATTTACAAAGCTTCCCCAAACATCGTACATCGAAGAGCCGGGCTGGCAGTGCCCTTCTGCCTCACCAAGCAGGAGGACGAGGTAGCTGGCCATTCCTGCGAAACATCGACAACGACTCGTGACCGTTGCAGCTAACTGCGGACTTTTTCGGATTAACTAAGCACTCACCGCCCCGCACAGTGGCAGCGCAAAGCATTGCCAAATAAAGCCCAGTCACCAATAAAGTCGATGAGAAGGCATGCTGCTAGCAGCAACCATTTGTCGCTGCGCACCTTGTTGGCAAATGCCGTGACGTCCAGCCGGACCGGGCTTCCGAAGCGCGACAAATCCAGAATGAATCTTCCCTTCAGGGATTGTCTCTCAGAGTTCACAAAGTACTTCCAACGAGTGCCTCTTGCCTCTGCAGCCTCAGCCATCTTCCCTTGGAAATCGAAGCTCCGGGAGTCTTGAGCCCAGAAAGCAGCGGTAGCAGGTAATTTCCGGTAGCAATAGCAAAGCAGGTCGCCATGCGAAGCTGCATTGGGGATGCGAACGCGAACGCTTGGAATTTTTTCGCGCCCTTTTGCCCGGCCCCGGCCAGGGCCGGCCCCGGCTCGGCTCAGTCGATCGAAACCCCCATTGCCAGTGCGGCTTCTTGCACTGGCCTGTCGAAGCGTGCTCTTTTGTCATGAGACTGCTAGCAAAGGCGGCATAAAGTACAGAGATCAGCCGAAACCTCTCCAATCATGCCAGGTGCTCGACAGGCTCTTCGAAGACCCCCGCAGAAGATGTGGAGCCTTGCCATGTGGCATCGCTGCGTCGCAACCGGTTCTCAATACCTCATCAAGCTGCAGCCGAGCGAAGGACCTTGATCGGTTGGCCGTTGAAGACCATATCAGCATCGTTCAATGCACGCACATCCGCCTGCCCGCAGGGACCCATGACTCCTAACCTGATCCTGCGGTATCGCATGTGGGTCGCTGCCTGTGTCTCATGTGACTGCTGCTCCAGAACGCCCGTGCCGCATGATTGATCCAGGTCTCAATCCGCAGCTCGTTCCAGCAAGCTTTAGATGCAAAGTCGGGCACAAGGACGATCATGACACCATGCTCAGGCAGCAACTTCTCAAATAAGCCTCGGCTGACATGACCTGGCACAAGGACTGATCAAAATACTACAGCCGCACGTACTCATCCAATTCTAAGCCGTGGCCTGGGAGTTGTACACGTCCTTCATCGACGTGCTTCGTCTCTGTCGCTTCGCATAGAAGTCACGCATGAGCTCCAGCTTTCGCCCCTCTGCATCCAGCCTGGATCAATCAAGGACGATAGCGTAATCAATGTTGTTCGGAAATGCCGGACGAGCACATGATTGCATGGCAGCAATTGAGTCACACCCCTTGCTATTCGGAGAACAGAGAACACAGTCATGAGGTCGATCGTTGTTTTTCTCATCTGAGGCTTCAACGCTGCTAAGAGGTCACGGGCACATCCGGCGACCGTCTTGGCAGATTCTGCCGACTCTTTCTGCAGACCTGACAAAGCCGTCGCCAGTGGGGCATGGACATAGCATGTTGGTGCTGAGCATGTGTGTTGTCTTGGGAATACTGCTGCCCTTGTGAGCCTTCGCACGCCTCTGCTTGGGCCTCAAAGGATTGTTTCACGCCAGACAAAGACGTCCTCAGATCCGCATGACATCAACAGCCATGAAACGACACGCTGTGGTGGTTCATGGGGATCCCTTCTGCATCAAGACACTCCTCAGCATGTCCTTGCTTGCCAAGCTGCATGGCGGTGACAACTGGGTTGTTCGTTTCGTGACCTAGGTGTGCCATTTTTTGCAACTGGACAATCGACAGAAGACCAAAGTCATTCTCAAATGGTCGTTAGTTTGTGGTCAATGCATGAGCGTGCTAAAGTAAGTATCACCCAGTGCCTCTTTACTGGCGCAAAGGACACATTGCAAAACAGGAGTGAGCATCACAAATTGTCATGGACAGCAGCCTGTAGTTGGAATACGACATGCAGCTTTCCAGCTGCGTTTTATGTTGACAACTCGCTTCAAGCAATCTGCTGGTTCGCGGTTTCGCAGTACGTTGGTCGTCGATCAGATGGGTGCAGACGGCTTCATTACGGTAGATTCCATTCACACAGGTGAAAGAACGCAGCAACTCTGCACATCAGTACCCCTTTGTCGGGGGGGGGTCTGAGGCCCCCCCCACTCCCCTTATAAGGCTAAATCCGTTTCAAGCCACCCGCATGAAATAGAATAGAGCCTAGGGGTGAAGGTTCCGTGAAATTTCAGCCGGGGTGGTCACGGGGGGAGGTAGGTAGGCTGGGCTCCGCAGATCTGTGCATGCAGTGATAACCTGCACAAGGTCCACGATAGGGTTTATGGGCAGCCGCTGCTGGATGAAGAGGGCAACGTCCACTTGTCAAACGAAGTCGTATGCTGGGAAGATTTGGTGATGCGCAGTGCCGAGCTGCCTGTCCAATTATTTTTTGGCCTCCTGTGTAAGGGTGTCAGTATATGTCCAATGGAAATCTACCATTTCCCTGTCATACGGGGCTCCGGTGGCCTCGTTTATTAGGCTGCTATTATATTTCGATTAGAAATCTATTAAAACAATACCATGCGAGGATTCCGTGGCCTCGTTTATTAGGCTGGTACTATATTTCTACTAGAAATCTATCAAATTCCTGATAGGCAGGGTCCAAGTGCTCGTTTCCCACAAGCACGGCCATGGTCACAACCTTTTCCCCCAGCGTTCCCTGCAGGCCGCCCCCATGCCCAGGTACTTCAAGCACACGTTTGCAGCGACGAGCTCCCGCGACTTTAGCAAAAGCGTGTACAGCAAGTTTGCTCAGGTGGTGCCCGGCCCAAAGAACCCTCGTAAGGCTTTCGTGCGTTTCCTGTGCGAGGTTCACCAGCATGCTTTGCTGCCGGTGTGATGTGGGATGTTCCAGACATGCTGCACTTAGAATCCAGTACATGTGCATCCCACATCAGAGGGGAAAAAACGGGGCGGGGCAGTGGCAACAGGGATCAGAAAATCTGATGCCTGCTGGCGCACAGGGCGAGCTGCTGGACGAGGAAAAAGGAAGCAGTGGCTATGTTCCGCGATAAGCCGGTGTCCTGCGGAAACGAACGGCGACTATCTTGAAATGGAAAATGCAACGACATCCCAGGATAACCCTGAAATTTCAAGCCCGACCCGAACCACCCAGGTGTTAACCCCGACCTCGACCGAAGGTGCCCTGAAATATTTCAGAGCCTCCCCCCCCCCCCGTTTCAAGCCACAACGGGGTGGTGATCTCTGCACCAAGCAAAAAGAAAAATATCGAGATGAACTTTGTGCTCTGGTACGATGCACTGGAGTATCATGGAATAACAAAACAAAACGGGACACTGTGAGAGTGCACTTTCACAAAACACAGTCAGAATTCACAAGTAACCACATCGACGGATAGTGCAGCCCATGCAGACGCCGAACAGAGAAATGCAAGAACTACGAAAAATACAAAAATACAAAAGAACTACAAAACTAAAAGAACCAAAAACCAAAAAACAAAAATACGAAAAACAACAATGTTTCGAGACTTTGGTCTCATCCATATATATTTCTGAGAGATCCTAAATATTGTTTTTTTTTGTTTTTTTAATTTTTTGTTTGATTTTTTTGGTTGTTTTGGTTTTTGTTGGTTCTCCTGCCCTGTCCCTGGTCGTGTTGTTGGTTTTCCGCGCGTGGCTACCTGCGCGCAGGGAATCTGCGTGAGGTCGTCCTTCGTGCCAATCAAGAGGACTTCAAACTTGCATGTTTCCGTGTTGTTGTCTATTTTATTTCATGCTGCAATATCGGCAGCACTATTCTATTGGTATAAACCCTTAGCCTTAGCTGTTCCTATTGCATGTAGATCTATAAAATGCGAAAATACAAAAAAGGTGTAAGCGTATGACTGTGTGCGTATACATATGTATATATATATATATACACATACATATTTATTGTCTTATCTTTTATTTCTTGTACTTAAATACATACATACGTACATGCATGCATGCACGCATACATACATACATACATACATACATACATACATACATACATACATTCATACATTCATACATTCATACATTCATACATGCATACATACATACATACGTACAATATATACCTATATATACATATATACCCCTGTTTTCATAATACAGGTTTATATCTTCATGGCATATACTCACCAATTGCAAAATTACTGCCATATCAAGTATTCCAATATAAGAAAACATGTGCGTATGTGTGTCTGAATATGTATGTGTGTGTTCCATACTTCCGACATGTAATCAAATATCTAAAATAAAACGTAGGTAAATACTAGCTGCACGCTTCATCAAAACTTCGCATATACGGTTATGTCTCCGAGCTGTACCGCGCTTGCAGTGGCAACTTTGCACCATCCTGCCAGTTTCCAAGGCACAGCCTTTCGCTGTCTGACAACTGCAAAGCATCTGCAACGGCAAGAAGAAATCTGCGCATGCTGTATGTGCTATAGCCGTCAGCTTCACTGCGTGACATGGACAACGGCGCAAGCAGCTGTGGTAGGCACTCGGCCGAGGATCCACAACCACTCGCGCATCTCCCACAAAGTAACATTCTGGAAGGAAAGTGTCGACATTGCCAACTGCACGGTGTAGCTCCTCGTTGGTCCACAGAAACAAGGGCCAATCACAGCTCACGTGGGTGGGCAGTGACATGGCAAAAGGCTGGCCGTCCTTGCCCTTGCTTACCTTCCAAACAAGCGAGCACGAAGAAGAAAGCCTTTCGGAAAAGACCAGGCCAGAAACGATGTGCCTGACCACCAAAGCCGCGGCCAATTGCAAAGTGGTCCAATGTTGCCGCTGCACGCTGCAAAGTCCCAGAAGGTGTTTCCACGCAGCTGGTGGCAGCACGTCGGCCTGCGAAGGTAACCTTGAGGGCTTGGAGGCCAATACATCTGCCAAGAGGGGACTACGTGCCTGAAAGGGAACACGCAGACGCTCTCGAAACCAAGAAACTGTCGCAAAGTGGCAGGTGGCATGGTTGGCCCTCGAACTGCTTGGGCCAGCAAGAATTCTCGCAGAACGCTCGGCCCTGGGCAAATTAAAGGCAAACGCTGAGCATCCAGCCACTGAGCGCTGCTCGTAGCGTGCCGATATCAAACTGGTTCGTAAGAGCAGCAGCCAAAGATGCCCTCCACGCTGCTTGCTGGTCCTGCGGGACTGCGCGTAGCTCTAACCACAGCTCGGACCAGTTCTCTATGACAACTTCGGGGACCAGGGCCGAAGCCAAAGGATCGTCGGTGGCCCGAAGGACAACATTTCTCTGTCTCATGGAAGCTTGGGGCACCAAAGATGCTGATGCAGCAGCAGCGATACGTGGGGTCTGCTTCGGGGGAAGAACGTGGTTTGCATCCAGAAACACAGCATGGCGCGTCAAATTGCAAGCACGACCTTTGTTCAGAAGCTGTTCTGCATCAGCAAAACTCAAAGCCCCTATGGGCGCCACTTCCTCCACAATTTCTGCGGCTTTCAAGCCGCCCAAATCATGCGGTACATCAAAGCCCTGTCGAACCAGGAAGTCAGCTGCAGCGTCAGCAGACACCGCTTCATTTGGGGCCGGCATTGGCCACCGCGAAGCGAGGAAAAGATTCGGGCATACGTGTTTGATTTGGGCAGCTCACATCGACAGAGACACTGAACTTTCAGAAAATAGTTCATGCACCCTGCGCCTGCCAATCCTACACATGCCTGTCAGAAGCCATAACAGCAACTAAACAGCGCACTCTCACAGCGACCCGGTCTCCAACAAAAAACCAGCTCAAATTTTGACAGCTCATCGACAGGCTCGGAAACACAATTGGCAATGTCATATTCAGATAAGTGAAAGATGACCACGTCTCTGCGGTCGGTGTGCTGGGGCAACAGTAAGCAGGGCTTGAGCGCAGTCCCCCAGAGCCGCCACGATCTTGTTCCGAACTTGCCACCAAATGGCTGGGCCCTGTCACAGCTCTTGAAGCGAACGATGCCACGGCAATGTCGGCACCAATCTCTATCTCTAGATTCGGGCTAATTAGGCGTGCATACTCCGCCGTGATCTGTGTCGATCGGCGGACCGATGGTGATCGTCAAGCAACAGTTTGCGGCAAGGACTTCTGCCACGCGGTACACCGACGCCATTCGCCGGATCACTAGCCTGTCCGCGTACACTCCGTTGCTTGCACTGCCCGCTTGACGAGTCTCTCACCTCCAAGCCCACGCAGGGTGCTGCGCAGCCTTGCGTGCAATTCCTTTCTCCTTGAACTTGCCTTTGCCACTTTGCCATGGTGCCAGGATCTTGACGATCGTCACCGTCACCACTTACAACAAGTGTATCATGTGCGACTGCTGTGTCCACAATATTTGCAAGACATCCTCTAAAGCGTCGGATTCTCACCGCTTTCCAGAAAGTCAGAAACAAAACCGGGTGAACATTGGTATCTGGGGCCTGACGCTCGGACCCCTTTCCAAAAGGAGCTTAAGCTCTGAAGAGCGCTTGCAGATGGGAAAACTGTGCGTGGGCGTTTCCTGGGTGAAGCTGCGCCCAGCAAGTTGTCCGGTTCAGGTGCCCGCAGCTCCATGTCGGTGCTAATCGAGCATAAAGACGCGTGCAAGTCATTGCTGGTAAGCGCTACTCCTAGGAACTCGATTCTTCCTAACACATGATGCCACACACAAGGCTCGGACCCCACCATTGGTCTCGAAGGCTTGTGAGGCCGTCCAGAGCCTTGTTCAGCACCTTTACACAGCACGAAGACAGCACAACTCAAGCAATGAAGGGGGCAGAGCATCGGCCGTGATCGGCACGAAAATCATGCCTTGGCAGCGACGGCGTCGTCCTGCCTTGTGCCATCCAAGGCCTCTCGTCTCTGCCAACAAACAGCACATCTGGACTCGGCATGAATGCCTGTTCGCTTGCTGGTAGTTGCAAATGTCAAAAAAAACATGTCAAGCCTGCTGCTATACTTGTTGGATGCGCGTTGCCTTGGTGCTTCTGCTAGTGATGCTTGCTCCTGCTGCTGCTGCTGCTGCTGCTGCCGCCGCCGCTGCTGGTGATGCTGCCGCGGCCGTGACACAACTGCTCCGTGCAAGACTCAAGGCTGAAGCTGTGTGCAACTGACCTGCAGTTTCTGTGCATCATTGTGCATCTGTGGCGTCCAGGAGCTCAATCCTTTCCGAGCCTGGGACACATTGGTGGCATCGTGGAGGATAGTGCGTAGGGCCTGATTTGCAGAGTGCATCCCTCAAGTCAGTCTGCCCTGTCCCACCGCACCCCATCGCAATTCTCGCTTGTCTTCTGGATGTGGTCCAGCTCATCCTGCAGCTGAGCCTGCCGAGGCACTGCCGAGCTGCAAGAGACATAACTTGTTGGCAGCGCGGCACGTCTCCAGCCTTGATGTGCTCATGTGCGCGGGCATCTGCACTGAACAGCATCGCCGATGCCCGTGCCGATTCAAGGCTACTTCTCTCCCTTTGGCGCTCCTCACGAGTGCCAGTGCCACGAGTGCAGGTGACGGTCTGCCGATATCGAAGCTTCCGTATCGCCGCATCGCCTCGCCGCACCATGTCATTTTCTTGGAACCTGAGCAGAGCAAGCTTGCGACCGATTGTCGAATGGGAGCTGCAAACGGCGCATTTGGCGCACACTCAGGCTCCGGCGCTCCAAGGAATCGTCACTCTGCATTTTGGCGAGAAGCTCCACTACTCTCGGACGTTGCTCCTGGGGCATTGCCTTGGAGTCTCAGACGCAGGTCATTGAAATTGTACTGCAAGGCATCCAGAAGTCTTGCATGGGTACGCGATTCTTTTAACACATCGCATCAGGTCAGCCGATGAGATTTCTCCGCTTTGCATCTGCGGCCTTGATCAAAGAATCCATGAGAAACCAACGGGCAAAACAAGTCGACGGTGTCAGGGGTGCAATAGATGCCTGCCACGCCAACACCGCCTGCTCTTCCAGCTGCCAATTCAGTGGGGATGACGTTCTCTTGGGCTCCTCAATGGGAGACTAGCAAAGAAGACATACCAGGCAGCTACGTTTACCACAGGGCTGGCACAGAACTAGATGCCAGCGATCACCAAGGCACTAGATGAGGCCAATGACCTGTCGTCCTGCAATGGCGCAAGATGGCGCAAGTCTTGTGGCGGCAATGCTGACACGTCTCGCCACAAGGCCCGGACAGCCCCTGTGCGTAGGCCAGGCGTCTCGCTCGTAGGGCCATCGGCGTTGCCCAGCTCTTCGGCGTCATGCAGACCTGACTGAACTGCGTTTTTGCACTTTCCGAGAGCTGCTCGCAGCTGAGCAGCGTAAACTGCGGCTCGCAGTAGTCGGTTCAGCTCTGAGAGCGGTCTCGGCGGAACAAGCTTTCGAGATTGGACGCGTCGCAACTGTTGGATCTGCCTCTGCAGTGCTGGTCCGCTGCAGTGGGCAGTGCGGCCTTGCATTCAATTGCGTGCTTTTTCATCCAAAATGCTTGAAGAGTAGGACCGATGCTGTCCCACAACACGAGATCACCAGCACGGCAAAGGACCAGCCTCTCCAGTGCTACACTTGGTACATGGCAGCAACGCCCAGAGCACTTGCCATGGCACACCTCCTGGCTTGCACCATCACGGGGCTCCACCAGGGAAGGCGGTAGAAGTCGCTGGAAGTTGCTCGATGGGATGGCCAATCCTTCCAGAGTGTTTCTTGCGTGCGAATTTATAAAAGTATGAAGTGGCGACTGAGCATAGGTCCTGCCAGGCAACCACGTGGCTGTGGTTCCGGTGGGAGCCAGGCACAACATACAAGCCACCGGTGAATTCATTCTGGTCTGTAAGGGATACGAAACCTTGTATTGCTTGCAGTCCCTGACGTCCACGCCCCTGCAGTCAAGAACACTTCAGCAAAGTCAGAGTGTCATTGCGATACGTCTGACAAATTAGCGCGGCATCAGCCTGGTCCACATGGAACCAATCGCCTTCCGTCTTGGAAAAGCCGAATTGCCAAGGCCGGAAGATGTTAATCCCGTCGAAAGAGGTCAACAGATCATCCGTTCCCCAAATTCGTCCTCAGGCAGCCACCAGGCCGGCCTAATGTGCTACAAATCGAGAGACTCGTCATCGAGGAAATGCGAACGAGGGACTGAAGGCACACTGCACACGAGGCAGACTTCTTATCATCCAAGCCAGTTCGGACTGACCTGCTGCATCTGTGTACCGCAAGCAGCAGTAAAGCAAAGCGCGTTCCACTCTTCCGACTCTTCCTCAAGCTGCAATCGAGGCACCGATGCGATCTGCTGAAAGTATGCCCGTGGCCGATGCTCCTTCTGCAGACATTGCTGTTGCACCGTACGGATCACGTGCATTCTTGGAAGCAGATCCTGGATCCAGCCGTGCCAGGCTTTCGTCTGTCCATGTGGAAGCGTCATGTCGGTCCCAACCGGCCTCCTTTCCGACACAAGCTTACCCCATCAAACTGCTCCGGCCTGGTTCAGCCTGCCACATCAGCTTCCACAGCAGATCCCATGCCCGAGACAAGTCTGCGGGCTCGGCTGCCTGCCTGAAGACGCACACTGCTTCCACTATTCTCAGGCCGTCCACCTGGATGCTGCTACTGGCTAACATACCCAAAGCGATGCCTCACCACGGCAAAACCGTCGGTCTGCAGTGCCGTCACGAGAGCAGCATCGGAGCAGTCGAAATGCCGTGTGCGAGACACGTTCACGGCAGGTTCCTTAAGGAAAGGTTGCGTATACCTGGCAATCAAACGAAACAGGCTAGCCAATTCAGGCAGGCAGCTGGGCGATGAACATGCCTTCGTTAGCAGCAAGGGATAAACCGCGTGGATGGCTAGGACGGCTAGGAAAGTTTGCGCGACTTGGCGTGGGCCATGGCACGGGTGTGCACCAGGTGAAGACCCCAAGGCAGCCAGCAGCGAAAGGCGCATGAGGACTCTCCATTGCGCGCTTGGCAAATGCCAAAATCATGTCTCGGATACGTTCCGGAAACTGGCCTCGCCTTTTTTCGCGGCTTAAGAGCTCGAAATTCGAAGCCGGACCGGACGAATGACGAGTGCAAGGCATCGTGGCGGAGCACGGACTTGCAATGCAATAGGACCTGCTGAGATGCGGACGGGGAGTACCTCCTGCATATGAGCCTCGTTTGGCCTGCGAAGCTCAAGTAGCCCGATGTTAAAAACTACGAGTCCACCAGAGCAGCAAAGCAGATCAGAGCAGAACTCTGCCTTGACTGGAAAGGTAGGGAAAGCTCTTCCAGGTCCTGAAAGTCGTCGCAGGCATTTCGCTTTCTTTGCAGCCCCTGTTCGAATCCTCGCTGTTCGCAGGCTCTGGCCTGACGACAGACGGGTCTTGTGAGCCTTGAAGCATGTCCGCGCCCTTGCCTTCTGAAAAGGGAAAGGAGGTCAGGAATCTCTGCAGCCTCGTAATGCATGCAAAGGGCTGCGAAGTGTCTATAGATGTGTGATGTATGGAATCCAAGTTGTGCACACGTTCGGATGTCATTTGCAGGAAACTCACCTGCAGTTCAGGCACTGCTCAGCACTTTGCATGTGTGCTACCTGCTGTCGCGCCTCACCCAGGCTCGAGCTGACCTCACACCAATGACAACCGAGTGTGCAGGGATCACATCGTGACAACTAAACGGTGACCGCATGTCGCGCATACCCTCTTCACAATCCCTGACCTTCGACTCGTCAATCCGATGGAGCGCCTCGAGAGAACGAGCATCGCAAACCCTTCTTTGAACCCTCCATCAGGAGTCTGTCATGCCGTGTCACGCCGTGCAATGCCCTGTGCTGGCCTCACCTGCCCTGCCCTGTCATGCCATGCCATGCCATGCCATGCCATGCCATGCCATGCCCCACATGTCCCATGCCCCCGGCCTCTGCCGCAGAGATGGCCTTGCCAGTAGGGATCACCACCGTGCTTGTGAATCCAGAGATCCGTACATCCTCACTGCCAGCCTCTGTTGAGGTCCGCAGCAAGGAGATCTGATCTTGCAGAGCCTGCACATGGCGGCCATGGCTCTCTTTGGGGGGGCCCTTCTTGGAAGCACTGCCCTCTGGGACTCCGGGGCCTTCTGCTGTGCTGCACTCCGCTTCTCCGCGGCCTCACAGGTTTGCCTGGCATGGACGGAGCAGTTCCGAGCCCTCCTCGATCCCATCATCTGCCTTCTGTCCTTGCTTAGCTGCTGGCCTCAACGCTGCTGCCAAGCGATGAGTTGCTGACGAAGCCACACCTGCGGTCAAATAGAAGCTAAACCGGCCCTCATAGATTTCCCCCATAGATTCGGCCCAGCTTGCGTGAGAGGCTTTGCTCCTTGCTTCGGACACGTCTACAGGGCTTCGCATAAGGTCCAGGGCTTCGAGACCAGAACGCATGCGGTTTTCAGTTTTGGGCCTATTCGGACCCAGATCGGAACATCCGAGGGTGCTTAAATCAATCGGAGCTAACCATGACTTCCGGCTCTTGCTTGAGGCTTCTGCGTGAATTATCAAGTGCCAGGGTTAACACCCTCGCTTGCCAAACGCAGCTTGACATGCCATGATCTCTTTCCTGGGACTTGTTCAATCCGAACTGTTTGCCCCGCGAAAAGCATGCTTGGTTGCCCAGAAGGCTTGACAACACGTGGCAAATTGGCGAAGTGCTTGCATTTGATTCAGGACTGCCATGTGCTCTTCAAGTCTCACTGCAAACTTCCATTGACTGATGCTTGGCCCTAGCCCCCCGTTGCCCATGCGCAGTTTCAGATCACTGATTGTTGCTTCTTTGTATCGTCTCTCCAGTGGCGGTTCTGGCATCTCGAAAAGTTTCAAGCACATCGCTCGGAGAAGGCACGGGGCGACTGTCAGTTGGGCCTCGAAGCTTCAGCCGCTCCTGAGCTTCGGCAAGCTGCGCCTGTCGCAGCTCTCGAACTCCGCAAAACTTTCCGGAGTGCTGCGGGCGGCCTTCGTGGAAAGCTGCAGGGCGAGCTCCTGGCTCTGTGTTGTCGCGTTGCCCTTCGCCTCCTGGGGGCGACAGGCTGCGACAGAAATTTCTTCGAATTCTCAGACCCGGCACGACACCTCCGTGAGCTGCACCAGCAAGATGTTCTCATCCTCACTCTCCCAAAATCTTATAGGTTGCACTCAAAAAGAGCGCTGCTGTGAGGACTGTTGCCTTGGTGTTCTTCAGTTTCCGAATGGTGCCACGCAGACTCTCGATGATGCCTTCGAGAGAGAAAGACTTCTCAGAACCTGCCTTTAAGTATGCTTGTTCATCCAACTGCCGCTGGGCACCCGCGAGGACTCTGTGCCTTCAGCGTGCTTGCCCTCGTCTGCGAGGAACTGAAGGTTCTTGTGGCACCAAGCATGCCTCTCCGTAGTAACGTAGCGTCCGTCAGGGAGACGCAGCGATTCAAGGCCTGCTCTCCTGCTGCTGCTGTTGTACCTCGAGCTGTTCCGAAAGTCTCCTGAAAAGCAGAGCACTTCGTCTGCCAAATGGTCTCCTGCAAAAGAGTTCCTGTGCAGTTGGTCCAAAAAGGACCGCAGGTCATCTGTGGACTCCTGTCGGGAGCGTGCCGTGTAAAGGACAGCCAGACAAACCCGCTCCGTCCTTCGTGGAAGACACACCAAGATGTGTCAACAGAAGCCATGCCTTCAGCTAGCGGTGAAGCGGCTTGTGCAAGACGTTGACTGTACTGCCGTGGATTCTCTCAGCCAGCAGGCCAAAAAGGATCGCCCCATGGAAGCACAGACCTCAGATCAATTTCGCCTGCAAAGATCTAAGTCTTGAAGCGGCTTCTTTCCATGGTTCCGCACGTGCGCACGCTTCATTCAAAGCCCTGCCCCCTCGCCACCATGGCGACGGCTGAGCCGAAAGGGGTTCTTTCACCAAGGCTGAAAGGCAGTGACCTGAAGACGCTCAGCCGAGCCATTGCAAATCTCACCCCATCAGCATGAGCGAAGCTTTGTTCTCTGCACGCATCTCCAGGTCTGAGGGCCTATAATACTTTAGCTCTGCCTCCATGCGCCTGCACGAAGGCAATCTCCTCAACTCTAACTAATCTCGACTTCTCTAGAGAGCGCAGGTTGTATCAGGCGCCTGCTTAAGTTGCGTGAAAATAAATGCTTAGGATAGCCAAACCAGGCAGATCGCTAGCACGATCGCCGCGCACTCAGCCGATGATGATACCGGCTTCGGCAAGGTCCTCATGTCAAGAGTTCATGACACACTGTTCTCTGTACCATAGCTATTGTGTCATGACTGTTTTCAAAACCCCGCTGTATCCAAGACCTCCGGTGCCATTTCGATCTCTGCAGCCACACCAGGTTCTGCCTCCATGAGTAAGAACTGTCGTGCCGTCGTGCACTGCGAGTGAGGTAGTGATACGTGGTGGGCCTCTGCCAGCAAATCCGGAATTTCGGCGTCGAATTTGCCGAAGGACCCATCAGGCTTGACATCCTGCCAGTGTCACATCAGAAACATGTTATCTGCCTCAAAGCTACAGCTGGAATCGAACCTGCCGAAAAACAATTACACATGGCTTGCGGAGGAGGGCAAGCTGGAGTGGTCATGTAGGCCACAAATCAATTACCACGCCGTCCTGTCTCTGGTAGACCTGGATGTAACTCTCCGTCAAGGCAACCATTTGCGGCAAAACCGGTGTAACCTGCAGAGTCGCGAGCAGGTGCCCCAGATGACTCGTGCAAGCATGTTTCCAGCTGAGGCATCCAGCTCGCAAATCATGGATCTCGAACCACTGCGACGTGGGCTGGTGAAACACCTCTCTCGAGTGTTGAACTAACAACACCCTTAAAGATCAAGACTCTAAGAATGTGGAACTTTGTGCGTGCCTGCACTTTGTACGTTCCTCGCTCCGGCTTGCCATCATGGCAAACGTTCGCAACCAAGTCCTGGCATTTGTGGTAGCACGGACATGTTGCAACAAGCAAGGAGAGCGGCTCACGAAGTGAAGTGTCGTTCGCACTTCGTGCGAAGTCAAAAGCGCGTGAGAAAAAAGCACAGCTCAGCTGTGTTTCTTTCTTCTTTGAATCTCTCGGAGGCTGCACATTGCCCCTTCCACACCACCCCGCGGACCGTTTTGCAAGCGACCCCTGTCGCGAGAGCAAAACCGACACCCAACTATTCCGCAATCTTGCCGCGGCGGCTTACATAACTTACGTATTCATTGATTCCTGGCGGTGCCGCGGATCAATCGCCTGCCGCAGCCCTTCTGACAGATTTCCTTCGAGTGGAAGTTCTGTGTCCAGCTTCGTAATCACCGAGCTCCCCACGGTTGCCGCTTTGTCACCACACTCCAGCTGTTGTTGCTTCTGTTGGCATTCCAACTTCCCCAAGACCAAAAAAGAATCTGAACACTTGAGCTTGGCAAGTCATGCCCATGACACACAGCATTCTCAATGATGAACTTCGTTCTGGTGATGCTAGGCCTTGTTCAAGTCTGCCACGCGACAAACTCTGAAGGTGACTTTGCCCGGTAACCTGTTGAGTATCGGTGGCTGGCAGCAAGTGCAAATACAAAGGCGTGAGAACATCTTCCATGCATGTTGGACCCAACTCTTGCAACCACAAAACCACACTTGCTTGGGATGCTCCCTGTCACTAGCTAGTGACTAGCGAGCTGGCAGCGAGTAGTTGCACAGCTATACAGTGGGAGGGCCGGTCAGGTGAGAACTTTGGAAGTGAAACTTGGGTAGCCCTGCTTGAAATCTGCTTACACAACGTGTAGTCGCTGTGCTTGCGTGTGCTTCCGTACGTGCTGGCATGCACGTACACATAACATATGTGTATAACAAACGCATGTGTAAATATTGTATCCACACACGAAAGAGCGAACACAGCTTTATTTATCTAATAGAAGCCGTAACAGAGGTGACAACAGAAACCAGAGAGATAATTGCGGCCACTGCACCCAATCTTAGCAGCAGCAGGGACGACGACGAAAACGACGACGACGATGACGACGACCGACGACGACGACGACGACGACGACGACGACGACCACGACCACGACCACGACCACGACCACGACCACGACAACGACGACGAGAACAGCAATATGCGTCTTCCTCGCCATAATCTACTACCGTTGCGATCGTCATCCCCACTACATGTCGTGGGAGATGGTGTGTCACATGACATGTGCCCGGTTCGCTGTGTGCCGCATTGACCCATAACACTCCTCAGTTACTTTCCAAGACTTGGACAGTAAATTTATGCTTGTATCTGGGCATATAGTCTGGAAATGCTCTGGAGCACCTTGATTCTTTTGCTTCAGCCGCCTCCTTCCTTTCATTTCGCAAAATGACTTTATAGTCTGTGGCTGCTCACAGTTGCAGGGGCAGCTCGCACGGGTAAGGCTGGCATAAAGCGGTTTTCCACCATTTCATTGCTGCTGCTCAGCGCAGTCCACCCAATCAACGTGCATGTGTCTCTCGAATCGCACAGAACGACGACCTTTTCGACACAGCAATATTGTTAAATCTCACATGGCAGGAGCACATACTTCGTTTCGGGGTTGGCCGGCTGACAGTCTGGATGAATGTAATCCCTGAGGTCCAGTCCTAAGCAAGGCGTGTCGCTTCATTGCACTCGCAAGAATCATGCGTCCTCAGGCCTCAACCTTTCAGGGGAAACGTCACAATCGTAGGGTTCTTTTCAACGAAGAAGTTGTTGTTTCGGAAGCGCTTCACTACGCAGATGACGTAGGGAGGCAAGCGCCTCAAGCTGTACCTGCAGCCAAACAAAGTCAGTTTGATCTGTACGGACCGCACTAGCACCACCAGCTGAATGGAACTGCCCGAAAACTGCATGCAATCAAGATGGGTAAGTGAAAGACTGGAGCTGCGTGAGCACCTGTATTAGACGAGGTGATTCCAGGTGGCACGGCGGCGTGAGTGGATGGGTGGAGCAAATGTACTGAACAAGGAAGGGCAAGCGGAAGGAACCAGGGCGGTGGCATTCGCATAATGGAGAGGCCGCAGTAAATGGGGCTGAGTGGGGCATGCAGAATCCGTGCAGTGGAGTCAGTAAGCGCATGAACGCAATAGCTGGCATGAATACCGACCGTAAGAACATGAAAACAGAGGTTTGTGGAACCCTGAAACGAGATGTTGGGGATGCCTGTGTGCCAATGGTGATGACGATGATGACGATGAACGTGATGGCGATGCTGAAAATGCTGATTATGATAATGATGACTGACGATGACGATGATGATGAGGGTGATGCTGATGGGTAAGAAGGTCCGCGGAAGGACACTCATGAATGACAGATATCTCATGAAAGTAGCAGACACACCAAACCACTTGTGCAAGAAACCACCTGTGCAAGGGTGTGGCCGCCGACTCCCAGACGTGTGTCTCTTCGGTAGAAGATCTGAGGCAAAGCCATACGAGGGGTCCAACCCCTCAGGGCCCAAGGCACCTGCTGTTGGGATCAGAATCGTGTGCCGTCAAAAAAACCCGTCAGGAGGCAACCACAGCCTCACCGGGCACCCTGCATGGGTCCATGGACGAGGCGAGTCACTCGATCTTCAAGAACTGATTTATCAGAGCAAAACTTGAAAGAGCGGGCTCAAGGAGCCGCAAGCCAGGGTGAAACCAACAAAATTAATCAGGATTGGTCAGCTCATCCGCCACCTGTTGTAGTCTCGCTTGACATGAAAGGGTGCCAACTGCATGCTGTGGTGTTGAGGAGACTTTCCACAACTCCATAACCCTGATCGGGGTAGGCATCTTCTTGGACTTGCTGTTCAGCAGCGAGTAAATGTTGCCCTGATTGTTTCTGATAATTGGGACCCTCAAGTCCGGGAAGGAGCCTGGTAAGTCACAAAGGATAAAACTGCCAAACATCTCAAGGGCTGATACTGGTATTCGTTTCTTGGGGCATCCATTGCCAAATGTCCAAGGTTGCACGTCCGGCAAGACCTGCCAGTCAAAGGCCCCCGTGAAGTGCATGGCGTAGCTCTTCTTGAGGACGCTCCTGGTTGGAGAGGACCACCGACCAGATGACCACACTTCGCCCGGCTGCCGCCGGTCCTTGACCAAGGACTCGTAGAGGCGCTGCTGAGGCTCGTCCGAAACCAGCTTCAGCTGGGCAGATTTGGAACGGAGTGGATCCCCCGGGTGAGCGCCAAAATCCTCTTCATCTGCAATGCTTGCAGGCGTGAAAGCGTAGCCCCCGGTGTTTTTTGTCAACGAAGACACCGACTAAAAGGCATGGGCCTCCTTGGTGCCGACGTGCTTCTTCTTGTAGCATTGGGCCGTGATGGACCTCGGGCACCAACACTCCTGGTCCACCAAAGTGCCGAGATAGAGACTCGGAGCCAGGAAGCCACAGAATTTCGGCTTGCCACCACTGCCCCGTGTTGCCATCTTGACCTCGACCTTGGCCTGCTGCCTCCTCAAACTTGCCGCAAATCCCGGCGAACCAAGAGCGAGGCGAAGCTCCTACACCGCTCCTGACAGACCTGCCGCAAAGGACCGGTCCGGACCCCCCGCCCATGTGGCTCTCACCCAAGGCTTCAGGTCCATGCTTGGAGTTCCACCACCACCATGGTCGCCTTCACCCTGCAGACCCAAGACTCGCGGGCGCGGGCTGGGGCCCCTGCCACCACTCCAGCGGTCCCGCTGCCCGATAGCTATTCCTGAAGGCCTTCGGGACGCTGCCCCCACCGTGACTGATCCATTCACATGTGGTTCTGGTAAGCAGTTCCCGTTGAGCCGGTCCAGGGCCCACGATGTACACCTTGTCGTCATGCTGACAACCACAAATGTCGCCACCTGGGCCATACCCTGCTATCCGGGTGCAGGTTAATGATGCCTGATCTGATCACCTGGATTGCAGGCCCCAATCGACTTTCCAACCTGTGACCCCCAGCCCAATCCAGGTTGCCAGCTCAAGCAGGCCAGACCACTCGCAGGATCAAGTGCAGTACCAATCGGACACAACAAACAACCACTCCAAAAGCAGAACCACGCTGCCCAAGTATACGGCTGACCGAAGATTGATGCAGCCGTCGACATCCGGGCTGATACTGTGTAAGAGCTGCTGCCATACAAGCCCGGTGACCTCACTAGCCAGAGAGCGAACCACTCACCCAGAATTGCCAACCCCTTTGCGCTATCACAGACCCTGCACCGGTTGCCACTGCAGCTTGCACAAGACGAAGGGCCATGTAATTACCCACACCTTGTCAGAGCATCTTGCACAGTAAAAAACCGTAGCGGTCAAGTAGCTTGTTGCAAGCTTGACAGAAACGCGTACTTGAAACACATCTCAGAAAGGACCCACGGTCCAGATCTTCTGCTAAAATGGCTCTCAGTCGTCTGCGACTGGGCAAGCTCCTAGCAGGTGGTACTGATCCTGGCGGAAAACTCAACTGGAGGCATACATAATGATTCTCATGCATACTGGAAGATTGTGATTGCGGCAATGAGGAGGGTGAGAGGAGGAGGAGGAGGGGAGGAGGGGCAGGTGGGTCTCAAAGCAGATCAGCGGAAGTAGTCTGCGACAGTCTGTGATGGCTGACAGGCGAAGTTCGCATTAACCTCATGCACGTGATCAAGACCTGCTGAATAATGCTGCACGTAATGCACACCCGCTCCACTCCCCCATCAAGTGACCTCCTGATCTCGCGGGACTCGCCACCCTTTGCGATCTTCTCAAAAGGCTTCTCGCCGTTGAACTTCTCCAAGAGGTTGAACAGCGGCACCTACAAGTGGCAGAGTTTCTTGCGATAGCCTGCGCAGAAACCCGTGTGACAGTGGCCTGCGGAATAAAGTCCAGGTTGTCCTTGAAAAGCGGCTCGTCTGGCAACTCCTGGAATTTGGCCAATGTATCGTGCTGGCCGTGGAATGGTCAAAGTCTGAGAGAGGCGCCAATGTCAGGAATACCGTCTTCTCTTTGGACTCTGTAATTCTTGACTCTTCATGGGCAGGGCACAGCTTGACCTGCGTCAGGTGCAGAACCAAAATCTCAAATCTGATCGATCGCCTAGTGCCGGGCAGGAATGTGCCTGAACCTCACCCTGGAAGACGTCGTGAATCAGCGAGTCTCCCTTCTTGTCTCTGCTCTTTTTATGAAGGTACCCCATCAGCCTCAGTCGAAGCTTGGGACTGGGAAACTCCTCGCGATCCGGCGGCCCAGCACAATCCAGGCTGAGATGTCTACCAAGAGAAGAAGGCAACAGGATCCATCTGCTTAGCATAGAACCTGGGCCAAGGATGCATCACCGCTCCGATGCATTCGGCATCCCCCGGGTCTGAGGCTTCTTTTGGGTAACTCTGCCGACAGCCTGGTAGAACTCGTGGGGAGAGACAATCCTCAGATAAGAGAAGAAGACAGGCACGAGGCGAAGAAAATCGAAAGATCTGATGCTCTGAGGGCACCACCCCTTGAAGTTTCTGGGGTTGTACATCTTGCGGAGCAACTGCGATATGGTTGCCAGCACTGGATCTGGCCTTGATGCATCTTGCATGCCTATAAGATTGCCAAAAGAGCCATGTCTAGGGCGTCCAACTTTCGTTCGGAGGGCGGCTGGTAGCCCAGGAAGTAATTCCGGATCGGGATCACCTCACTCGGACAGCTCAGAGTATCTCTAACGGAACGATTTCCACACATTGCTCTGGCAAGACCAGGGCATGTTCTGCCAAGGCCACAACGGTGCAAAGCATCTGGATGACCACATTCTGGTAGTCCGAGTCCTGAATGTTGTTCAGACCTGGTGGCGACGAGCAGCTGGGAGCAGTCACAGCTGGCATGGCTGTTGTGGGCTGGTGAACGTCATTCCAAGTGCATGACCAATGCATCCAGGAATGTAGTCGGTGCCATCCAAGGCTTTGGAATACCGCACACGTGTTGACATGAATTCAATCTCCTGTTCAGCGAAGCAATGGGCCCGCATGTGATCGTATGCGTGCAGCGGCAGTCTGTCAGCCTAGGGCTAGGGGCCAACACCATGATCTACACAGCTCTACCTGAAGCACACCGGCATCGTGATCGCAAAAGACTCCACGTCATCATTCCGAAAGCCGGAATCTACGCGAGGGAGTCTGGAACACGTGAAAAGAAGGAACTTGCCCAATAGGAACAAGTCCTCCTCATCGAAAAACGGGATCAAGTTGTATTTGATATCCTCACGGGTGGCTACATCAAGAGCGGAGGCCCTGTTGGATATCCGGCCTCTAGGGACTTGTCCACCACTTCGTAACCGTCCGGAATGCAATAGACTTTCCCATCAACTGCATTCATCCATACATAGTGCCCCTTCTCCAGTGCATGGCCTCGGTGCGAGAAACAGGGGCTCTTACAGAAGAGCGACACACCAAAACCTATGAACAAACACCATGGCATTTTGGGTTTCTGCGCTACAAAAACCGATTGGGGCACCGAGCGGCTGCTTCGAGCAAGCCGGATTCGCTCACAGGGGTTCGCGCACATGTAGGGGATTCGGGCGCTGGCAGATTCGTGCACGCAGGCCGCGCTATTTCCTGGGTTCGCGCACGAAGCTTCGTGCATTAAACCGTAAACCCACGTAAACCATCAACCCACTTCCTCAACCCCGTCAATACCACCCTCAAAACCCCAAAACTTTAAAACCCTAAACCCGAAAAGTCTTCAAGCTAACAACCCAGAGTGCAACTAAACAAACGAGTGCCAGAAACAAAATCGTGGCACAAAAACCCGGAAACCCAAAAAGTACCAATACCGAAAAGCATGACTTCTTGAATCACAGGATTCGCACGGACTTCAATCGTGCATGCTTCAGTGCTCAATTATTGAGTCAGCTTTCGATTGTGCTTGATCCGCGTGTACTTTCAACCGTGCGAGCTTGGATCACTCGAATTGTTCAACAACCATGGCGTTTCCTATCTCCATAAAGCCATCACAAAAAGAGGAGCATGCCAGCAGCAGGTATCCCCTGGGTCTTGTGGTCCTAAGGCATGCAGGGTCACCCTGAGCCGTCTCTCTTTCAAGGAGGAGGTCTTGGTTGCTGCTAGATGCCTTGTTCAGTTCAGGGTGCCTTCACTCGCCGAGGCAAGTTCGTTTGAGGCCCTGGCGGTAGGCGGGAGTCTCCTTGCCACGACCTTGGAAGAATTTTCCGTCCACCAGATCGCAGTAGACGTTGTCGCCAGATAGTGTCATCGAGCACAGTTTCTCGAAGTCGAAGTCCAGCACATGCCTCATCTCCACGCATTCGGCGTATGTGTCACCCAGCGAAAGGACGGTGAACGGGCCTGTTGATGGTACCCAGGTAAGGGCAATCCATGCCTCACAGAATCGCTCAACCGGACTCCGCAGTGCGAACTGTGCAAGACAAAGAGCGCAGATCTTGCAAAAACGGATCTTTCAAGTCTCCTTCAGTTGCACCGAATGGCTCAAGACTCGAAACAGACCAGCCGCCAGCGGCAGCAGCAGCAGCATGGGTCAGCAGCATGGGCAGCAGCATGGGCAGCAGCAGAGGCAGCAGAAGTGGTGTCTTCCACAGACACAACACGCGCTTGAAGAGACACGGCTAAAAGCCTTCAAAGGAGGTCAGTGCCAAAGCCAAAACGCGGGATCTTGCAACTAGGTAAACCTGACCTGAGACTTCCCTTCTAAGTAGGGAAGCTTTGCTTGATGACAGTCCGGCCTTCTGAGATAACTGAGGTCCACACGTTGCGGCACCTCTTCCATCTTCTTCTTTTTGACCTGGAAGATGGAAGCCAGCACACATGGTTTGCAGCATCGCATTCCCGGAACATCACTGGATGCGCTTAAGTTGTAAGTGCAGCCTCTCACTGGCAAGTAGCTGCTTGATATGGATCAAACGAGCAAATTCACCGATGTGATCAACATGATTGCGCTGTCATGGCCAACAGCCCCGACCGGAGCTTCATCGTCTTCCTCCTCCTCCTCCTCAGCTGCTGCTCGCTTTGCGGGAGGCAAGTCCTGTAGGAAGCCACTGCCAAAACACGGGCATGTCTCGACAAGAACTACCGGTCCTGAGCCGACATGGCTCTAAAGCTGCTACGACTATGCTACTACAAGTGATCCGAAGCGGACTAGGGTGAAGCTGCATGCTTGACAGAGTCTTGGGAACCTGCGCTGAAGACCTTCGGACTGGCCTAGAAACCTAGAGAAGGGCTTTCGAGTGCCTGAGCACGAAAGAGCAGTTCATCGGAGAAGTTTCCATGGTTCCGACTCATGTAGTGAAGGCCCGCACTTACACAGCAGCTGTTCTCTGTTGATGTAAAGCGCTTTTCACATCCGCACTCACGCACACAGGGCAGCCATGCGCATGGCTTCTGTGAGTCCTATTGCAGAACTGACATGCTGGCAATCTCGCTGGACAACATTCTGGCATAGTCTGGCAACTGTCGCTTTGCGCAGAAACTCGCTCGGTGTGTCAAGATCGTGTTGACATCACCGGCTAACGTGGAGCAGGCTCACGGCTTCGGCTGTCCGAAGTCACAACATTGGCCTCACATGCGAGAGCTCTGGGACTGTTGCAGTTGCACGTGCATCGCTGGTCCAGGCCTGGCGCTTCTCGCAGCCATGGCCTTTTTTGCAGACTGCAGAGCAAGTCTGCCGTTGCTGGGCCGGTAAGAGGTAAGAGCGTCGCTGCCTTCTCCGCCTGAAGCTGCGCCGCATATTTCTGCCTGTCCTCGGTGAAAACGAGGCCTGCCGCATGTGACGAGAGTCTGAGAGTCTGCCGCTATGCCAAGGCACAGCACAGATCATGAAGAGCAAGAGCGCCAGCACCTGAAGCCCGGAAGCCAACAGCACCCAGGCGAATCGTGCTTGGCCGACATCCGGGCCCGGGCCGTCAGGGCGCCGTAGGTCGCGGCCATCGTCCAGAGGAGAACACTTCCCCTGGAGCTCTGCAAGTCCTTAGCTCCGACAGCTCTCAAAGCTGAGTGGGCTGAAGCTTTGCGAAGGAGGGTCGTAGGATGAGGCGTAGTTGACGGCAGCGGTGGCCTTGAGAGCCAGCGTGCAGCCCTAGTGCCCGAGCAGACCGCTTTTTCGCTCAGCCGCAGGCATTGTCGTCTGGCCTCGGAAGACAATCATCTGCTGCCAGCGCGGATCGACTCTACCGCTGGGGCTGCCGCGTCCATCCGAGAACAGTGGATTCTGCCTCGTGAAATCATGGCTAATTCGGAAGAGTGTTGGGTTGGCCGAGGGTTTTGAAAGTCCTCGTTTGTCTAAGTCTCTGAGAGCGCTGCCTCCTTTTTTTCAGCTTCTGCTTGCTGCTCCTGAGCCGCCTCCGCCTTCTCGGAACTGCTGTCCACCTTCGCTATGGATGGACCTTCTTTCGCGACCGAAGCCTCTTCGGAGGCCTCGGCCCCTGCATGCTTCGACCCGGCTCCTTTGCTGGCTGCCGGGAGTTGCTCAGACTTGGCAGTTTCTTGCGTGCTGTTGCTGCCCTTGCTTGCTTTCGCACTCTGAGCTGAGCTGTTAGAGTCGGCCACTATTCGTGGTCTCTTGGACTCTGTGCTCGCATTGCTCTCTCTGTTTTCCTTGGCCGTTTGGTTCGCCACAGCCGCAGTCGCGTCTCCTTTGGTCTCAGGCCGTCCCTCAGGTAGCAAGTGCAAAGACTTCCCTGGCCAAAAACGAGCGCAGGATATGGAGCAGTGACAGCCCATCATCGCATCTTCCTTTCGAATGCATGCAAGGCACATTTGTCTCTGTTGAAGTCACAGAAGGTTTCGCGGCTCTTGGACCAATGACATTCGTCTGTCACAACAGCCCGAGCCCGGCCCGCAGCAAAACCATGACGATCCGCATTGAACTAGCCTGGATAAGTGCCGTCGCCATGAGATGCTCGTCCAGACGGTCCACGCTGACAGAGGCCTCCCAGCAGAGTCAGGCTCCCAAATGCGCCCATGCCGCATCTGTGGGCATGAATTGTCCTGAGAAAAGCACCACCATAATGGCTTGACAGAGTTGCAAAACCATCGCTGGCAAGACGAGCAACATGCTCGGTGGCCACCTGCATCGAGACAGCTTGACAAGTACACACAACACAACAAAATGTGCAAAACAACACCTGTACCTTGGACTTGTTTGCAAGGAGCAGCAGAATTCGACCTTCAAAAAGACCTGTGAAATCTATATCAGTATGTCTTGGCTGGACTGTGAACTCAATCTGGTCGCAGCGCCTCTTGTGATTCGAGTGTGGCAGATGGAAGATACAATCTCGGATTAGGTAGCGCTCTTGGCTACTGGCACCCCTTGAGCCACATCTGGCTGAAGACGTCGAGTCGACCCTTCGTTACGACGTTGCGAAGCACACGAACATCACATCGTCACTGCAGGGGCCACTTCAGACACGAATGTCCTGATAAGTACCATGAGAAAACTGTCTCGCTGTGTCACACCTGCCACTTGGAAACATACCTGATCTTTGCAGGCAGCACAAGACGTCGCTCAGCGAGTCAAGTTGTGGCATGGAAAAACTTCTAGTTTAAGAGGGACGAAGCGATGCCAACGCATGGCTGCCACGTGTTTCCACAGATTCCACTGGCGCCAGCGTCTCGATGTGGGGAACAAACATCCGCCAAGAGTCTCTACTTGCTCTACTTGTTAGCAAGGCAAATCAATCTGGCACGGCATGATGAGGAGAGCAAGTTCCAAGCAGTGCCTGAATGCATGTGCAGCTGCAGCAAGTCGGATAACAGCTCATTAATGCTGAGCCGAGATGCGAGCGTGTGGTCCAGCTAAAACGCCCTGGCAGGAAGACCGATCTGGTTTCCAAAGGCTTTCAGAACTAACATGCGGTTACGGTGGTTCTGGATTCGGGGTGCGAAACAGCGTCAAACACAGAGGTGGGCTGCGCCGACTTCACACACTGTCAAACACAGCTTTTACTGCTCTGCGGGATTCGCAAGGGAAAGAAATATACCTGAACAGCAACAGAGTAGAATGTGTAGGTGAAGCCCGCTCACCCGTAATGATGATTTCAATTGGGATGTGGCAGACGATAGAAGCAGGAAGTGACATGAAGCACAGAGCGGAAACTATGGTCGTCACACTGGGACCATTAGTAGCAAGACCGCTGGGTTAAGAGCGAGAAGCTAGCCGCCGCCCATTGAGTGCTTCTTTCTGCCGCTGGTGTGGCCGCATAACGGCGTCCGTCCTTGTTCTAAAGCTGAGTCGGCACGGTGAAGTTTTCACTGTTGGCTCGAGATGACAAATATTCGATGCTCCCGCCGGCCTCTTCTTTGTGGTGGTCTGGGGGTCACACATGCCACAGTTCCGAGCCAGCCAGCTGCTATGATGCGCAGCGGGATTTGGTGACGCCGCCGCATGGTAGGTCGAAGCCCGAGCAAGCCCTATCCAGGAAGCGGCAAAGCCCGGCGCGTGGCATTGTGCCGGGAGTGCGATGTTGAAGAGAATAGAGCACCCAGTCAGACAGTGACAGGCACAGAAACGACGGCGCCTGCTGTGAGGTGACAGTAAGTCCTCTCTACTCTTCACGACAAAACCCCAAAGTATGGCCGCACAATGTTTGGGGACCGACAAATGTTGCTTCGGATAATTGCTTCGTGTTGTTATGGCTTGACCTGGATGCTCTTATGTTGGGCGCTCCGTGCGTGCTCGTCGCTGCACCAGCCCGGGCCCGCACCACAGATTCTAAGTATACACCAATCTTCATGATCAGGGAGAAGACAAAAAGAGAAGGGGAACCGCAAGGCTTCTCGAGCTGAATTTGCAACACATGCTCAGCGTGCTCCATCTCGTCTCCAGCTCCCAGCAGGTCCTCCGGGCCCGGGCCCGCTGCCTCCAAAAGCAAAGCCCCTCTCAGACTCAGAAGTGACTCGGATCGTGCCGTGTGCCTCGAGGCCGAGGTCGAGGCCGAGGTCGAGGCCGAGGTCGGCCAAAGCATCCGAGTTCCCAAGCTCCGCATCTTCCGCATCTTCCGCTTCCGCTTCGGGAGCGCGCTCACTTAGGAAGCCGGAGCCCGAGGCACCGGAGCCGCGGGAGCCGCGGGAGCCTCCGTGACCTCCTGCACCTCCGCCCCCCTCTTCGGGTTCTTTCAAGGACTCCGTCCTTCCCTCCAAGCTGTCCATCCTACCAGCATCCGAGACGGAGCACCGACCCTCAGTGGCCGCACGTCCGGCCACGGCATCTGCAGCACCTGAGAGGAGCTTCCGAAAGCGAGGAGTATGCACAGGGACTTCGCAGCGCTGGCATGCGCTGGCCTGCTTCACAGACAGTGCCACGAGAAGCTTCCATGCCCGTCAGGAGCGCATCATCCCTGCAACAAAAGAGCGGCTCATGCAGCGACTCACTGCGGCAGGAAAGCAAAAGCAACGGATGCATCTTTTCCAAAACGCAGAGCAGGAAAAGGCGGGAGCTGCCAGTTTAAGTCAGCTGCTCTTGTGCATCATCAACAATCAGTGGCTTCTGCCAGCTAATACGGTGTCGATTATGCTCGGCGCCCTCTGCTGCGGCCTCCAAGCGCTCGAGGGCATCTTCCGAGAGCCGCAACCCATGCTTCTTGGCAAGCTCGCGAACTGGAGACTCTGGATATACCACGCCTTCCTTCTTTCTGTCTTCTGGCACTGGATTCCAGAACTTTCTTGCTTGACCCTGTCGCGGCATCTCCCAAACAGGCTTACTTGGGGCAAACTGCTTCTCGTCAATGTTGACAATCTCGCCACTCTCCACGGCTGCTTCCATGCGGGTGATGGCACCCTCATCCAAGACCACCTTGGGAACTTCTCTGACCGGGATTGGGATGTGATCTCCTCGCAGGGTTGTTCTCGGTCTCACCTTCTTGCCACCGAACGTCCCATTCTTGAGCGTCAAGCTTTCAGCAGGTTCCTCGACCACCTCTTCGACAATCGACAAGGATGCGTCGTCCTCCTCTTGCACCTCTTTCTGCAGCTCCAAGTCTTTCTGCACATACTCCTCCTCGGTCATCCCGATCATGTCCAAGAAAGTCTGATCGGGCACCTCTTGCTTCGCAAAGGTGCGTTGCCGCCGATATCCCAAAGGTGACCTTCCTCGTAGCACGATCTTGCCGTCCTGCACACAACTTCTCGCAATGCCCTCTGCCGCAAGTAGTTTTCGATTTCTGGATCCGGTCGGAAGGCTCACCTTCTTCTTCGGCCGCTTTTGATCCAGAAGTTTCTGCTGGTGTTCTGGAGGTGGTAGCCAGGCTATCCGGTGCTGGTTTGGTTCCTTGAGGGCCCAGGTATTGATCAGCGGATAAATCTCTGAGCGCATGTTTCTGAGCTCCTTGCGTATGCCCCACTCACCACGGTACGGCAAGTATGGTCGAACACATGTGGCCTGGTGCTTGAGATTGTGCGCTGCCCGGCATCTTTCGCAGCAGTACGAGACTCCTCTGCAGACATTGCACATCCTGAAGCGCCTCCCTTCTTCCAAAGTCGTCTTACGGCACACGCAACATACCTGCACCGGAAAAGTGCCCGTTGCATTCTTCTTGTCCGACCTTGTAAGCTTACCATATTTGTCCTTGTAGACCCAAACATCGTCACGGATCATTTGCACAATATCGCAGCTGGTAACCATCACGTTGTCACGTGAAAAAGGCGCAGTCATGTCCAGCTCTAGCAAGGTTGAATTATTGCAGTTTGATCGCGGCTCTTTGCCGAGGTTCACACGCTTTTCACAGTCTTCGCACAGGAGGTACCGATCCCTCCAGGGATTGTCTGGCTCGTCTGTGTAAAGAATCTGTGGAGCTATGCCTTTTTTCCTACTCTTCCGATGCTTCTGCAGCATGAAATTATTCAAAGCAGCGATCTGCTTCTGTCGCACTTCCATGTGGCGTACCTCCCCGGCAGAAAGCTCTGTCCCGTCTGGCTTCACGGGTGTTGCCTTGACCTTTCGTGCCAAGTCAGCTAATGTGTAGGATCCACCTCTGATGACTTTGTCAGCTTGTCGAAGAACTCTTGGGATTCTCCTTTGCCGGGCCTGCCGGGCCCAGCATCCGAAGCCCAGAAAGGCCAGGCCCCATGCCATGGAAGTTTCATTCCTGGCTGTCCACGGAACTTCTGAGGCCCCCATCAGGGCCTCCCGCACACTGGAGGCCTGTGGAGATGGACGTGTTTGGGGTGTGCTCGTCGTGACCAGCGACAGGAATGCCTCCATCTTGAAAGGATTTCCTACAAATCCTTCCCACTAAGTCTCAACCCTTCAGTTCGAGAGCCACCATGATTCACCAAGCTGGCATGCGGTACTCTTGACTGATGTCTTGAATATTTGTTGACATGCCCCGCTTTTTGAACAGCTTCACGAAGCATGAGCCGACAGCCGCAGCTTGTGGGTGCAACGAAGACCCGCCGGTCGCTGCTCTGGCAGCTCGCTCTCCGAGGAAAGCCCTGGAGTTTCTTCTTGCAAGTGTGGGAAGGGACTGAAAACCTTTTGGGCCCCGAATTCGGGAGTAGGCACGAAAGGCTCCAGGACAAATGTTTCGTCGGCATGGGGCTTGAGAGCCCTCAGCGTTCCGTGGACTGAGGATTGAACATCTCTCTGTGACGGCGGTGAAGCTTTGGAGGAATGTCGCAGATTGGCTCCAGGGTAAGGGAAGCAAGGGCTCTCACGATGTCGCGGCTTTCCTCCTGGCGCGCTTGCCTTCCTGTTATGTTAACTCCTCCAGTGTCCGCGCTTAGCCCTATCTGTGTCTATCGTCTGGGGCACTCGAAATCCCATCCTGCCTTGATGAGGGAGTGAAGGAAAACACACGCTCCGAGCCCGCACTCAGCGGACTCAGCTGCTGACTCTCGCTCCTTTGATGTGAACCATCAAAGCGAATTCAGCCATGAGGGAACAGCACAGCCAGTTTGAGTCCGATGCAGGAGGTTGTGCCGCTTTGCTGCCATCTCAGTAGAAGCGGCTTGAAGTCTTCTGTGCAATGCCTGAGCATTGCTTTGGATGTCCAAGGAATCAAGGAATGGCTCCACAGCTTTTAGCCGTGGCCTTCTTGGCCTCCTCGAGCTTGGCAACGTCTGCATTCAGCTGCTTACTTGCCTCAAGAAAAAATGCTTGGAGATCTGGGTCTCAGGAGCCAATGGAGCATAATGGAGCCTCAAGTGCGTTCGCATCTTGTTGCTCTAGTCTCTTGATCTCCCGTTGCAGCGCGGCTCTGCGGCCTAAGGCCATGAAAGAGATGCCAAAACAACACAGGCGAGCACACCGGCCTTGAAGAGCAGCCTGCGCGGCCTGCTCCCTGCCAGTGCCGCGAAACAGCGAAGCAAAACTCTATGTTGGCGTAGCACAGGGTGGCAACGTAGCTGAGAAACACCATAGAAAGACAGCACTAACAGGGTCTGCCAGAGCATCCCACCGTCAGCCATCAGAAGGCGCTGCATGGCCTTCCAAGCTTCTGCTCAACAGTTTTTTTCTTCTGCTCCGCCTCGCTGACCTGTCTCAGGAAAGAAACTCGCTCATAGAAATCGTCGATCACATGAACACAGGCCTGGGACATCAGCAGCCTGGCATGCTGACTCTTCGCAATCCAGTTTCTTTTGCAAGAGGCTCGAAAGCTTGGGATTGCTCGCGGACTCCAGGACTTTACGCAAATTTCGGCAGCTCTGCTGCCGCTCTGTCTCCAAACTCCCCATCCTTGGATGCTATATTTAAGCTGCACCACCCTACCACCGTTCCGATTTTTATGCTCGGCCGAAGCTAGGTGCAGCACTCAGAATGGCAGGCCCTTTGCTGTTGCTGAACACGTCGACATGCCTGCAAGGTACGGTTCAGGCATGTGTGATTTGTCACAAGTCCGTTTGCTCTGGAGCTCCCGGCCAGTCGCTGAGCATCACGCTCAGTCTTTGCCGACTCGATTTTCCTTGATTACTGACGCAACTTGCTCCAGGCCATGCACCGTAGAATGAAGGCTGATCATCAAGGCTTCCACTGTTCCAGCCCATACTTGCTTTGCTCCACAACAGAGAATTGCTGCCTGCCAGTCACAATGTCAGAAGGGCAGTGGCTTCGCAACAGCATCCCCATTCCTCCTTGAGGAGGTTCCCAAATGCGCATTTCTTTGCCGATGCTGGCTGCTTTTGTTGCTACTCCGTCAGTTCCACGCCTTCGTGATTCCCAGATGGGCGGGTGGGAGAACTTTAGGTCTGAGCAATGTGCCGTGGGTTTTACACCGCCTGTCCTGGTTTTGGCCAAAGTGCTACCTGACAGCCATCGCGTGATGCTCGTAACCCCCTAAGGCCCATGCGTATTGAAGCGTTTAAATTCATCAGCTTCACCACAGCATCCCACCCTCCTCGTTTTGCGGGTGCATTGATTACAGCTGTAGCTGCTCCGTTCTGTGCAACCAAAATCAACTTCACTCCTTGCGCCTCCTACCCTAGTTCAATCTTTACGTGGGAGCCGTCACGGCCAGAACAAGCTTCACGCTAACGACGTGCTAGCCAAAGCTTCTACTAAAGGTGCGGTGCCCTTTTTGGATGCGCGAACTGCGCCCGGCCGGGCGCCGCCGGAAAACTCGGTGCCGGTGCCGGGGTGCGCACTTCTGCGCCCGCTCCTTGCCGAGCGCCAAACCAATCCCACCTGGACTTGACGAACCGTGAAATTTGACCTGTCGATGCTGCCTCCGTCGGCAAAGTCCCTTCCACGGATCTTCCTCCACCGCCCCCTTTCCCTCCCCCATGCTCCCCCTTTTCCGCCCTTTCCGCCCCTTCTTTGTGAACTCCTCGTGGCTGTGGCTGCTGGCCATCAGCATCATCATCTCCCCGCGGCTTGGTGCAGCCAAGCCTTGGGTGCAAAGCTCGCAGTCCCGCCCACGCTCCTCTGTCGCCTCCGTTCCCAGCCTCGCCCGGAAGAACTAATGTAAGTGCTAGAATCCCGCGAGCCGAGGTGCACGGCGTAGCGTTAAAATAAAAGGGAACAGCAGCAGGCTCTACTGCTTGTCTTGGGTTCGAGCCCCACTGCTTAAGTCAAGACGACAACGACAACACGAAAAAGGCACGGCATCGGCAAACATGAAACTTGTGCTTTGCTTCTTGTTTTATGGGCCTAAGCATCTGCAGCTCATCCTCCAGCTTCTTCAGCTCCGACTTTTGCCTCGCGTCCTGGCAACAAGCACGTTGCTTTCTCAGCGCCATTTTCTACTCCAGAAGAACTGGGCAGAACCTCCTCTGCCGATTTGGCCAGGCGCTGTCGCAACGTTTGCACCTCGACAATCCACCGCGAGCATGCGAAAACGAAGACGATGACGGAGCCTCTTTCGCCACAGCGCCACTTTGGTGCAGCAAAGCCTTCGGCTTTGTACGCTGGACCGTTGCCACAGGAGTGGGATGCTACAGCGTTCCTGTCGCTGCTGCTTGGCAACGTTCAGATGGGCGAGAATAGCCAGCCTGACTGCAGGTACTTTCACGTTTTGCTGCGACAGAAACTTTCGACCGAGCCAAGCAGCTTTTCTGACCTCAACGCCTCCAACTGCGATTGCCTCATGAGTGGCATGCAGTATGCGGAGACTATCATGATTCTAAGTCCAGAAGATGTGATCAAGGCTTGCACATGCTGGTGTTTTCATGGCGGACCGAATCGAGCCTGACACAACAAGTGTTCTTGGGCAGGCAAGTCATTTTCGATACTTATGTTTTCGACATCCCCTTTGGACCCACTAGGCCACAGGCTCTTGCTGATGTTGTTGTTTGTCCTCGAAGGCTGCACGAAGCAGGACGGAGGCCTATTCCCTCTCACAAGGCTCTGAGCCTCGCACTGCTTCAGCAGCTTTGATGCGGTGTTGAAGCTCTTCGTTTTCCTGGCGAGTGTCTTCGAGGACGACAGCTGGCCACTTCACTTCGTACCCAGCCAAACTGCTCCATCAGGACCACTTGTTTATCTTACACATGGAGGAGCCGAAAAAGCAACATGATCACCAGGATGCGGGAAGAAAACAGATTTTGCTCTCGATGTTCTTGCCCGTCTCGCCTTGAGACACGATAGCAGCTGGCGCTGCATCACGCGACATTCGGTCTCGTGCGTCTGCAAGTGTTTCCTTTCAGTAGCAATGGACTGGTAGCCTGCAGAGCGATATTGAGGTGGTCCTCTCAGCGTCCCCTGCTGCAAGCGCTCTTGAAAGCTCATGCCTGCAACAATGCAAAGACGCCGCCCTTGCGACCACACAGCTTCGGTCAAGCACCGGGCTCCAGTTGCGGACTTTCCTGCATGTCATGTGCGGAAAGCGCAGAGAGCGAAGGCGCCAGCCAGGCCTTCGCGAACGAGGGCGACTTTGGCCTGACAGCAAGTGATGCCGCAATTCAATGCGGCTTGCGGCTTAGCTGCCTAGGCTTCATGCAGAAATCTGCAGGATTGCGCACCAAGACGCGCCTGACTCGCACAGGGGGCGCGCTTGCCTTCGTGCCGGCGGCTTTGGCACGTTGCTTAGCAGCCAGTGCCATTGGCTTGACGCCCGAAAGAGCCTACGCTGCGGTTTCTGCTGTCATGGCCCTTGGCCCATCTGGCCCATGCAAAGCCTGGATGCTTTTGCATGTTCCACCCAGCAGGACTCAATCGTACTCAATCGCACCAAAGAATTGGAACCTCATAAAATTTGTTTAAGCATGAAGTGGACAGGGCAAGCAGTAACCGCAAGTCTGCCAAGGCATCATTCACCCGAGTACCTTCAATGCTCGTTGTTCGGCTGATCAATTAACCGGGTCGCTTGCTGCTTCTTATGTTTACGAACCGGCGTTGTGCAAAGATGCTTTCCAGGCATGCGCCGGTGACCGTCATGCTGGCAAGCCCGATCAAGCCAGACTACATCCAGCGGCTCCGTGAAACTATGGAGGTATTTTGCTACATCCCTCGGCACAGCAACAGCTTGATTACTGTTTCCAATCTTCTTGGTTCGGCGGCTACAGCGTAGCTGAGGCAGCATTGTCTGGCTGCGCGTTGGTCAATTCTCAATTCCTTGTGCCTGCACATTTGATGGATTTTGTTCCTTCAACTCTTGTTCCCTTCCCTTTTCCCTAGCGGTTGGGTCCTTATCATAAGCATTCTTCGCCTGCGTTCTTCGACAGTGTCAAGAACGACCACGACGAGAACGTGCAGCCCCAAAAGAACCTGGAGCGCATCTTGGGTCTTGTGTCTCTTCGGAACCTACATGCTCGATCTGCTCTGCTTGCTTTTCAATGTTAGCTTTTGGTGCTACGGGGGCATGATAGCGACCCTACTACAGCACTACACTTTTCGTAACTTCACTTGCCGATGGTGAGATTCGCTGCATGGTGATGCTGATGTTCCGACAGTTTCTGCCACTGCTTGCGCTTTGACTGCGTTCTGTAGTTTTGTTTGGCCCCAAGGAATGGAGTCAACCCCGCCACGTAGGCGACGTAGGTCCCGATCCCGTAGTGTTCCGTCTGTGCGGTCTGATGGAAGGTTGCAGCACTCTCCCATGTTGAGAACGGTGCTTGAAGCTTGAATTGCTTATCGTTCCTGTGGGATGGGGTGCCCTGCGTCAGAATATGCTGTTCAAGCCCAGATATGGCTGTTCTGCTGACAGTAGGAATCGTGGCAGGGCCAGCCAGACCGAAAAACATGTTGCGTGTTTTCAACCGAACGTCTCTTAAGACTAAGTGTCGAATGTGCTTATATGTGCTGGCAGACCCGTGATAATCGATAATCGCCGCGCTGGTCAAGTTTGGCGCGCGTGAACGGAGGACTGCAGCGTTGTTGAAGGTGTCGCGGCATGGCTTGAGGGGTCGTGTTCTAGCCTTGCACACGTATCAGCGATCGTACTCGCAGGATCATGCAGGATCAAGAGACCACAAAAGCAACAAGAACTCTTACACTTGGAACCGTAAGAGCCGGCAACGGCAATAGCCTGGCAACAGAAGCAACTTCAACTGCTGCAGTATAGATAACCTGCACGCACCCCGAAAACGCTTTTGCAAGCCTGAGCCATGCATCGCACGGTGAGCTTGCCACTTCTGGACTTCTGGGTTGAAGCGGGATCAGAATCACCCCTTCTCACGGAATCCGATGCAGCTACGCGTGAATCAACAGTCGGCAAGCTCACCGCCGTTGGCGATTGTATGGAAATCACATAGGCGTTGGTAGCCCACATTGATGAGAGCATGCAGCTCACGGTTCTTCTAAAAGCATCTTCGCATCTTCGCCGCGATCCTTGAACAAAGACCTAGCACTCGATCATGTTAAGACACATCTGCATTCGAGCTAAGAGACCGTGAATGGACGAGACCAAGGTCGTCTGGCAACTCGAGCAGCCAGAAAAAGCAAGGCCACAGATTGCACAAACCGGTTCTGTACATATCTCCGAGGCGGTAAATTACCAGGCTCGGCAAAATCCTGAAACACTCTGCAGAGCAAATTCTCATCACAGCTTCGCGACGAGGTGTGTCACAGATCGGCTCAACTTCTGGAGAGCAAGGTCTGCACTCCTTAGATTTGAGACTCCTCGGCCTTCCTCCCTGAAACTACGACATGCCAAACCCAGCAAGAGCTTCGAGAGCTACAGCAATGCGTCCAATGCACTGTCCGCCCTGCAATTTGCCACAAGATGCAGGCAACAAGAGATTAGGCAAGTCCAGCCACGTTTCACTCATTCCCCGTCCGCCAATCGCGCTTTGGCTCTCCGTGCTGTCAACCAGTCAGACCACGCATCTCGAAGTGTCTTGCAACCCATGTTGAGAACTTGTTTCTTGAAATATTTCTCCAACACCGTCCAATCCTTCTCGTTGTCGGGCAGGTCTTTCAGAACCTGAGTTCCCATCCGGAGGGCCGCAAGCCCAGAACATCTTAAACTTTTAAGAGGCTCTACTGTTTCAGGTTTCTTGGCTGCACGCCCTACAGCATAAGCCGTAGAAACATAATAGGACCCACCTGAGCACAGGGCCACTGCTGAATGCTAGCTGAAGGAGCATGGTTGAAGACACTAAAGTAGATGCCCGGCGTTGGGAAGTCTTGACCAATCATGACCATTTCGTGCAAGAAAGCCACTTGATCAACGGGTAACAGAAGTTTCAACAGGCAGTTTGCGTCGACGACAATCCAGCTCATATTGAGATCCAGGCCTCTCGCAAACGCGTCCTCCACCCACCTGGTATCATCCACATACAATCCGGGGCTCTGCTGCACGGCGTTCCACGCAGGAATCTGATAAACTGTAAAGGGCACTCCGTTCTCTATTCTCAAGATCATCTCCCGAGTGTTCACATCATAATGGTCTAAGAGACTTTTCATAACCGTGTCGTTCAGATGGAACCTGCCGCTCGCCAGATATGCAGCCAGTGTGGTCGGCCTGGTCCGATAAACGCGACCATTTAAGCCGATGCCAAAAGGCTCCTGGTTGCTTGCACGAGTATTGGCTGAAGGCTCAAGTCTCTCCATGAACGAGCACTTTAAATCCAAAAGCCGCTGCATCATGCCGGCGCAACTCGGATTCTTGGAGCTCGCAAGGCAGGCCCAGAAGAGCAATGACAGCCCATAGTCACTCGTCATAGTCGCATCATACCCATGTTCAATGAGGAGCTCTAGCTTTGTCATGTCGCTGGCCATAGCTGGCATGCATCCTGTCATAAAACCAGTGCCTATGCCACAGTTCCGTGAGGTTGTCGACACGCCACACTTAGCATTTGGGTCTGCTCGGGCCTCCAGAAGGAGTCGCACACAAGCATTCCCTGGCTCCCCCCAGGCACAGTCCAGCGCGAAATGAAGGGCTGTGCAGTTCTCCGAGGAGCGAGACTTAACATTCGCCCTGCATTTTAGCAAAGCCGCAACCAGATCGGGGCAACCACCTGCTGCTGCACACATTAGTAGCGTGATGCCGGTCTCCGGGTGTATCAACTCCAAGTCCAGCTCCGGCCCGAACTCAAGGCTGCCTGCACAAGCCTTCTGCAAACTCGGAGCAAAATCAGCCTTGTTGTCTGCCAACTGTCTGGCAGCAGGGGAAGGGGTCTGCACACGAGCTGCCTCCTCATGCTCGTAACGCACTGCCATGCGAAGGACCGGAGAAGTCATGCAGTCTGGATGTGGGAAATTTATGTCCGCCTTGATGTCGTCCAAGAGGTGGACACCGGTCCAGTCTGGGTTCTGCAGACAAAGTGTTTGCACGCTCCTTCGACAATTCCAATCGATACGAAAAGGTGGTGATGACATGAAATGAACATGGAAATGCAAATCTCAAACATGTGCAGAGAACCATTGCCAGACAAGTGTCTCACAGCTGGCTGCGCAAACGCAATGATGCATTCCTGACAGGACAATCCGCCGACGGCGGCAGCTGTTGGCAGGGGATGGCAGGGGGCTAGCATTCGGGGAAAGCCCCATGTTACGTTGATAAAGCACTGTCCGTTCTGGCGGCGGCTAGCCACAGCGTCGCGTTCGTGTGAAAATCGTCTTAGTTGCATGACAGGGAGTGCCGATTCTTGTCTTTGGGCAGTTGATTGGGCAGGCCGGTGCCGGGAATAGGAGGGGCCGGGCAGAGAGTTGCTGATCCGGACGAGCCGGCCAGGGGCGAGCAGAAGGGTAAGTGTAAGATACACCTGTCTCAATCGCTTCGAACATGAAGGGCCGAAGCAAATCAGGCATTTGCAGTTCTCGGGGCCGGAATGCAACGTGTAGGAGAACAATGACAAGCTCCCCCTGCTCTCCCCTCATCTGAGTTAAGACACTACTCAGCCATCTCTCGGCAAACGGATATGTCGCCTTTGTGCCGCCAAGTTCCTGCTGCTAGCAACTCCTTCAGCAGGCTCCAATGCTTGTGGGTCGCAGCGAAGCAAGCCAGGGTTCCGACACCTTCGCAAATCCAGTGCGCTGCCTCGAGGGGCATCAACTCGCAAAGCATTGTGGAACATTCCGCGTTCCTGTCAACAGCAATCTGACTCCTGGTCTTTTTGTACTTTGTCTCCTCCATCTTCACAAGCTTCGCCCGTGTATCAATCCACGTCACCCGATATGATTTGACCTGATGTGGAATCCCTGGTGGTGGATGCGCATCATCCCCGCGCCAATAAATTTTGTTCGGATGATAACACAGCCTGCCAGGCTTGAGCTGCGCGCGCTCGTCGCTTCCAATTTCCTTGCACCATGTCTGAAAGCAATCCTCGCCAAGCATCTCTGCAACGTTGATCCACACTGCAAGCCACCACTGCTCTGCCAAACGATCCCGGCTCTGGCAAGACACCGATGAGGAGCTCAGAAAGTTCCAGTAGGGGGCTACGCGGTATGTCTTGTGCGAATGCTGTAGAACGGCGGTTGCAAACTCAGCCGCGAGAAGCTCCTGGAATGAAAGATGCGCCAGCTGAATCTCCTTGCCGGCAACACCTTCCGTAACAGTGAACGCGGGCAAGCGTCCTGAAACGATGCTGGAACGGAAAGCTTCGAAGGTGTCCTGGCGCTGCCAGGGAGCCCGTCAGGCACAGCCTAAACCCTGCTGGTAGAATCTTGCTGCATACCTGTCTACGTGAGAATCTCGCTTCTTGTGTGGGTTTCGGATCCAATCCACAAGGCCATGACTTATTTCCGACCTTGACATAGCACAAACACAACCCAGAAAGCTGCTCAGCGAACCCCGAATCTTCGAAGAAGCGAGAAATCCTTGTCGGAGCTGATAGCTTCGGCTTCGGCCAGCGTAAAGCTGCGCTGCCGCTTGCAGGTCTCCTGCGAGTTGCGACGTTGCAGTCACCGCTTCAAGCGTACCTGAAATGTCAGACACTAATTTAAACGACCCTGAACAGTTGTCCGAGAACATCCGCCTGCCATGCGATTGCTTGGAAAAGCTGTCGCGCCTTTGGGCCCTTCCTTGCCAGATGGTCCATGCAGTGCGAAAAAAGGCTTGCATCAACACGTACACGTGCACAAGAAGGCTTGTTGCATGCTTGTTGAATTCTGCCGAGGCGCAGGGCCTCGAGCTGGCGAATCGTTTCCATGTCTGCTTGGCCATCCCGCGACATGAACTTCCTTGTCGCGACCGGTTCTGCGGGCTTTGGAGGTCAAACAGCTACGGTGGACTGTACAGGTCTTACAGTTGGAAAGCGGTCACGGTTAGAACCAAGCGGCGCTGCATCAGCAACATGCAGCATTAACCTCGGTCCAAACTATGACACATAGCAGGCTCATTCTGGAACACTGACACCGCCGTCAAAACAAAGGCGCACACAGCAGCCATTGGCAAACTTCGAAATGCAGAAACGGTTCTTGAAAAAGGGCGAGCTACTTTAACGCCTGCTGATACATGATTGTCTTGGTCAAAACCTTCGCCGCTTTGTCCGTCTCCTCCTCACGGCTTCATGCTCACGGCTTAAGACGCACTGCTCACACAACTCAACGTCTGCGATGCTTTCACCAGTCTGTGCAACCCCTGGCCTGACCACTGACTAGCCGACGTAATTCTACCAAGGCTCCGTCTTCCGTAGAACGTGCACGAGCAAAGTTAGGCATAACGGATTGCCGGTCAGCCCCGCATAGACCGGGTCGCCAACAGTGTCCTCGCAAGCAAAAGTGTGCAAAAGCATGTGCTGCGGGATCAACTTGAGCCGAGGAGCGACCATCTTCTGCACTCTAGCTTCCGATTCGCGACTTCGCTTCAGGATGGATGCGGCCAGCTCCCGCGAAGCTTTCTGCGACAAAGGAGACATGAGACACGCAACGAAGCCCATGCTGGCGAGAGATTCTTGTTCGGCGAAACCCACGATGCCCGGCCGAGAAGTCAGCAAGGGAAAATGGCAAGGCTCCACAGCCAACAGTTGTGCCAAATACGAAAGAATTGTTGTGCGATACGCTGCAGCCTCGTCCAATCCATCCAGAAGCACAAACAAGCCCAGAACATCTGCTCCCTCGTCGCTTGGCTCCTCTTCGTCGTCAGTTTCTTGGGATTGACGAACCTGCACGATGAGTTGTGCTAGAGACGAATCTCCTCCGTACTTCCGCGCCATCCAAGTGGCGAGCGGGTCACTGAGCGCGTCGGGCTCCATCAGCAACGTTGGGTCCTCCTCCATCTGTCGCATGATGTCCACCAATGGCACCCGGAGAGGCACCAACACCTCGCGAGGCTTGTCTTTGCCATTGTCTCCGTCCGCCGCCTTCTTGCGCTCAGCAGAAAATTGGTGAATGTATGCAACCTGGAAGCTGCAGGCACTGCTGTCTGCACCAGGGTGCAGCTTATTACGACAGTAGCCTTCCTCCCAAGGGCTCCATCCGCTAGACTAAAAACAAGGCACACTCAGGGAAAGCTGATCCAAACTGCACATCCAGCAAAGATCTGTGACACTAACCACACCACAAGTAAACCACAAGGCCCAAACACTTCGGAAGCTATCAGCTGTTGGACTAATAATTACGTCGTTGTCTGCAATAAGACGTCCCTCGCGGCCTCACGGTGCCGATCTCATATCTGCTACGCGGACACGTATTGGCAAGAGAACCCTTGCAACACTCACAAAACACACCCGAAGAAACAAAAAAAAACAAACAAAAACCTAGGAGGGTACTTCGATGATCAAGGTGGTTATTA